GCAAGACTTCTCAATAATAATATGCTGGAAATAAAACTTCCAATTCCAAATTCAAAGCACAGACACTTCCCAAAAGTGGAGCTCAATCTGTGCACCCTCGGATCCGAGCCAGCTGGCTCACATGTGGGTCCTCTCCTCCCTGAATGGGCAGACCATCCATCCTTACGAACTCTGCCAAACATTGCTCAATTTCTAGTGAAGATCCCATAGTGTTTGAACATGTTTGAAATTGTGGTGAAACACAAAACAAGATGTTGAGTATTTTATGTTTGATGGAGTGGATTCACAGAAAATACGAATACTGAGTTCATTTCTCTTCGTTTAGCTTTAGCATGTAGCCTCAGTGCACAGGCAGATGAAGAATATTTATTTTACTTTAATTTGAAGCAGCTACAAGGAACTTTAATAGTGTTTCTACCCTCTCGTTTCATTGATTTCAAGGGGAATCCGACCCGGTGGCCGACATTACAATAACTATATAGAAACAGCCAATCTGCTCTCTGATGGTCTGTCAGTTCAAATCTTCTTGTAGGAGGTTAAAGGAAGGAAATCAAGACTCTAGTTACATTAAAAGACAAAAACTTAAAAAGTAAGCACAGGAAAGGGAAAAGGAAAGAAAGAAAGGGAAGAGAAACTGCGAGGTTGAATAGGCAGTCAGGAGAAAAGGGAGCGATGCAGAAGTTTCTGGTATTTTGGACATGAGCCGACTCGTCCCGACTGACCCTGGTGGAGGGACGGATGAGGGAGGAGGAGGAGGAGGAGGGCTTGAAAGAGGGGTGAAAGGTTAACTAGACAGAAGATGGAGAAGTTTTTGTCTTAAACAGGTCTTGATAGTACACTTTGGAGCCAGGACTCAGGATATGAGCTGCAAGATCCATAAAAAACATCAAAGCTGAGCAGCTCATACACCTTACTGTTTAATAAGAAGGTTACAGGCTTTAAACACTTTGATGTTGAACACTGGAGCTCAAGCTGAAAGCCCCGAGTCTGACTGCAAACACCATCAACTAAATACATCCAAATTCTAGAGATTTAAAGTCTATACGGAGGATTTTCTTTTCATTCCTTCTCCATGATCGGCCCAAAGTAGAGAAGTTGTGGTCTTCAGAAGGCTGCAACTACATAAAAACTGCTTCCAGGCTCGTTTCAGGACTGGGTGTATGAGCTACACACAGGGATATTAAACCCACACCCTGCTAACCACACACACAAGCTCACACACAGCCATTTAAAAGCCTCCACGCTGCCTGAAGCAAAGCAAGAGGGGGTAGACGGGGGGCAGAGAAAGGCAGAATCAGGAGGGAGACGAGGAAGAGAGACAGAAACACAGACAGAGGAGGTAAATTTAGCTTTGCCTCAGAGAACCAAGGCTCCTGTGGATTTTCCATAATGATCCCTCACACGCTGATTACTACCTTCACTGCGCTCTCAAATGGCTGCCTGCCTGAAGCTAGAGTCCACTTTCAGACTCAGGAGAAAAGTTGCATCAGATCTGAAAAGCGTGTCCTCCATGTGCACGCCATCTGCAGACTGCTGTCACTGTTTCTAAAAGCCAGAACAGTTCAAATCAGCAAGGTGGCTCCGATTAACGCAACGCTGGACCGAGTAACGTAAAGTTCATCGAGGTTAGGATCAGTTTGTCGGTTCTATACTGTAGAAACATGGTGGTTCAATGTGGTGACCTGCATCTGTAGATAAAAACAGCTCATTCTAAGGTAACGAAAGCTGGATGTACACTAATGAAAACATATATATGAATATTATATTCCATTTCTGACAATAGATCCTCCTCAGTGTTTCACTCTGGACCTTGAAGATCCAGACGTCCGATGACTAAAATCCTTCATCCGGTTCAAATCTAGAGTTAAAAAGCACCAAGATCTAAACAGTGGATGGTAACAATGTGGCTTCACACTGGATCAACAGTCAATGTATGACAGCTTCTGGCAGACAACCACAACGCTGACGCAGGCACAAAGGGGATATGACGCCATCGACAGGCGGCCGGTGAAACGCAGCGTTACCTGAATAAAATGACAGATTTCTGTTTGAGTTTGAACATTGTTGGAAACATTTGGGATAATGGAAGAACTCAACTACATATAGAACATAGAGCCAGAACTTATACACTGTTTGATGAGGATGATGTTACAGGTTAGAGCTTTAAATACTCCCACTGTACAAACTGCTGCCATGTGAAAAGAGTACAACTCTAAATTTGATTACACTTTTTTTTGCATATCTTGACTTTAAATTTAAATATGAGTTTACATGGTCCACTGGGAACCAATGACATCAATCAACCCTTCGCTGTCCAGCTGACAAAAGAATCATTTTCAGTCACTTTATGTAATTGTGTTAAATAAAGTTTTCTACAGATCTGTGGATGATATTTATTTGTCTTACTGTTGCAGAGCAACCTGAAGATCATACACAGGTGTGTCAGAGAGGATATTTAACACTGGAAGGTGAGTAACCCTGAACCCTCAGCACACAACCTGACCTCTGGCAATAAAACGAGTCGTCATTTATTCATCATCTTTATAAAGACGGGGCTGCTAGTGTGAGAGTGCACCGCTCTCTCCCTGCAGACACACGGTCCATTCAGGGAGAGACAGAGCGAGGCCACTAGCGAGCAGGATGCCATGCCCTGACGGAGAACAGGCTCTGCACTGTGAGCACATGGATCAAGCCGTTCGTCCTCGAGTCCGTGTGTGCAGAGTGTTGAGCTGTCATGAATAGCTTGAGTTGGATTTGCAGACGAGAGTTGAGTGTTTATCTGCAGGTATGCTGTGTGTTATGTAAGCAGGCACATAGCTGGAAGGCCCTGGAGCATGTGCAGAGCAAACATACTGCTTTCATCTGCATGTCAGCCTGAGTACACCGTGTGCAGAGCGGCACGCTTTCTGAGAGACACCAGAATGTGCAAGTGCATGAAATAGCCTTTAAATTGAAGGCTGCTCTCTCTCGCTGTTTGACAGAAAAAGTGATCTCAGTGACATTTTCCCTCTCTCTTTGTATCCAGCTGACCTTTCATTGTGTAACGGCTCATCTATTTAAGACCCCTTTCATATAAACTATAGCAGCGTTTCCACTACAGGAACTTTCCCCAGGGATGAGGAACCTCTGGGGGGGGGGGGACCAGCAGCCTGTTGCTCTATAAGTTCAAACTCAGCCTGTATAATTATTACCAAGCTGTGATTTGAGCATTACTAAAATAAAAGCGGCTTAACTTAACTTTACAACTTAACTGTAAGTGACAACTACATAGTCGCCCCATAAAATGTCCCAGAATTATATTCACTGATGGTGAAACAGCATCTGGGCTGGGAATCAGGCTCCAAACAGCAGAGAGACAAAGCTGGTGAATATATTGGAGCATTTAGCAGCTAAAGAGAAACATATTTCCTCTCAGGTGTTGGAGGTGGAGACCAAAAACAGAGCTAAAATTCAGTTCAATTCAATTTTATTTGTATAGGGCCAATTCATAACAGAAGTTATCTCAGGACACTTTTCAAATAGAGCAGGTCTAGACCGAACTCCTTTATAATAAAAGTAAATACTGGTGCAAGAAATCCAAAGATTCGGGATGCAAAATGTGATACAGCCTCATGTTTGAATAAAGAATAATGCTTAAGTAAGTAATTTGGTAAAATGAACCCGAACACGCCGTTATCCCCCAGCCTGGAGAGTCACAGTTTACAGGGTTGAATCTGGTTCCTGAAAGGCGCCGGTACTGACCAGTACTGAGTTACTGAGAACCTTTACTTCTTACTGAGTGCCCCCCCCAATGGTGAGCACGGTTGTACCCCCCACTGAGCTCACAGAGATCTTCTGGAGGGTAGACCATACAAGTCAAAGTAATAATCGCCTAAAAATGATCCAGCGAAACCCCTGTAGCATCCCGACGGTGTTGTGTACAGCAGTCCTGGAGAGGTTCCCGATACAGCTGTTATACTGTATCTCTGTGCTAGCAGCTGGCTTAACGCTGAGAAACACCACTGAAGATATCCTTATTAAAAAAGATCAAATAAATGTGTGTTAGGGTTGCTCTGAATTCAGCTCAGACACTGAAATGAAAACTGGACTGACTCGCTCTTCCAGACTCTGATAATAAATATGGAGGCCTTTAATGCCAAAATAAACTCTACTGTCTAACATATGAATTCCAGACGTAACTGTTTACCCTCCCTGAAACAGACGTCACTCACATCACACAAACACACGACAACGTCACAGAGGATTCTTTTCTTCTCAGATAAATGGAGCTGAATGAAGACTCCACCTTCACACTGACGCAGCGTTATTATTCCAAAAACCGGAGGAACTTGATCATGATTCCACACAGCGGAGGGAGGACGGGAGGGAGGACGGGAGGGAGGACGAGGGGGAGGCGGGGGGGAGGCGTGAAGGTTGAGGAACCCACACATGGCTGCCGGCTGAGAGGGTTTACATTGTTGTGAGGAATCTCATGTCAACAAACCCCCGGAGAGAGAAAGTGAGAGTGACCCAACAAAGACTGCAGTCTGCTCCTCAAGACTCAAACACTGCAGGCTTGTTGGTCTTCATGCACCCCCCACCTTCACTCTCACACACACACACACACACACACACACACACACACACACACACACACACACACACTTTACTATATATAGAACATCCACCTCACTAACAAGAGCATCTTAGTCCTGCTTCTTAACACAACCTGGCTTTGTGCAGCGTAGGTGTGAAAGGTTTTATATTTGATCACCTGGAGAGGAACTCTGGTTTTAACTTTAACATCAAATATAGAACTTTAACTTTTCATCCTTTAAAGCTCTAACCTGTAACATCATCCTCATCAAACAGTGTATACGCTCTGGCTCTATGTTCTATATGTAGTTGAGTTCTTCCATTATCCCAAATGTTTCCAACAATGTTCAAACTCACAGAAATCTGTCATTTTCCAGGACGTCCTTTGTCTGTCCAACAGCGTGGGAGAAGCAGTGATTGTTAAGGTGGAACTGCTTTATTCAGTGTGTTTAAGGTGGAACTGCTTTATTCAGTGTGTTTAGTGGTTTTAATCAGCGGGTCTGTTTGTGTTGGAGAGGAGGAGACCTCTGTGGATCATTGGGCTCCCGGTAGAAACCTCCTGAACCATGAACACTGAAGGAATCCTAACCGGGAGAAGCTGACTGCAATGACGCCAATGGTGGTGAAGACAACAACTCCCATGATCCCACACTGCTTCCCGGAGGGGCTGCGAGCCGAGCTGCTGCTAACGTTAGCTCAGCTTGTTCCTCTGATAAGTTAAGATCCAACAATTGAACATTGTTGTTCTATATATAGTTTCTACAGATTCTCCTCTGAAGCTCTGATTTACTGTCTGCTGGTCTCTGACAGGAACTGTAGCCTCAGGACTTGTTTAAAGGACCCACATTCACACTCTGAAGCTTTAACGACACAAGTCTTTACCTGTCTGTACCTTTTACTGTGTGTGTGTGTGTGTGTGTGTGTGTCTGTGTGTGTGTGTGTGTGTGTCTGTGTGTGTGTCTGTGTGTGTGTGTGTGTGTGTGTGTGTGCTGGCTCAGGGCTCAGTAGGCCTCTGTGGTGTCTGATTCCCATCCTGCGAGCCAGCTGGATTTTTCCCCAGCGAACCCAAAACGCTCCTCCCATCATCTCCGCGCACACACACACACACACACACACACACACACACACACACAGACAGACACACACACACACAGACTGTCTCACTCTCTCCGTCTCACACACTCTCCTCCTGGCTCACAGAGACGCACATATGGCTGGAAAACACACACACACACACACACACTTCAAGTTACATAACTGAGGGGGAAAGGCCGATGTAATGCAGAGGAGATGCTGTGTGTGTGTGTGTGTGTGTGTGTGTGTGTGTTTCTAACAACAATCAATAGTATTGATTATTATGATTATTAGCAAACTTTCACACAATTCAATATGATATCTGTATAATCTGTGCAACCATGTGTCCAATAAGGTTATAATGTTTATATTTCCATCACAGGACAGTCAGTAAAAGAAACTGTGCTCTTATTTTGAAGTTTTGAAGTTGTTTTCTCAAATCTACGACAATTTTAGGAATTAATCAATAAAAAAAGCCAAATATTCTCCAAAATTCGCTGATTTTACATGTTTTAAATGATCAAAAAATGAATTTAACTTATTATATTTGGATGAAACAACCAAATAAGTTCATTTAACTCATCATTTATCATTAAACTGAAAACACTGATATTTTAAGTTGAACTAACTCAATTTTGTAAGTTAATAAAACCTTCAAGTAGCTTCAGAAACTGAGTGACACCGAATTAATAATAATAATAATAATAATAATAATAATAATAATAATAATACTGAAAAACTGAGTTGATGTTAATTAAAATGTTCAATGTAACTCATTTCTTTAGAGTTTAAATAACTTATACCAGTGAATGAAACTAAAGATTCTGGGTTCATTGTTGTTGTTATTATTATTATTATTATTATTATTATTAATAATAATAATAATAAATGGAGAATTGTTTATAAATATAGTTTCATTAAAGGTTTCTGTCACAATCTTTCTAAATAAATGTGTTTAAAGGAAAAGAAAAAGAGGATGACAATGAAGAGAAACTTTCAGGATCCCAAGTCTCAAGTTGTGAATGGAGAGCCGGGTCTCACACACACACACACACACACACACACACACACACACACACACACACACACACACATTACCCTCCCCCTCCTGCAAACTGAGCCTCAGTCAAACTGTGATAAAGGTGATTATTAGAGGAACCAATCAGCAGGCGCTGATCAATCAGCCCACTGTTGGATCGATAACTTACATTAGTGTAGAGCACACAGTCGATCTCCCCGGACTCAGACAGCTCGCTCAGGTTCCGGTCCCAGTGCAGGAACGGTTCACTGCTGTCCAGGATCTCCATGATTTCCTCCTCTCACACTTTCTCTCGTTGTTTGTTTGTTCTTTTATTTTCTCCACAAACAAACAAACGCTGGAAAACAAACTCCCAAAAGAAGAAAAGAAAAAGAAACAAGTTCCCAACAAGTTTCCAGAGTTTCCAGGTGGATGAGACTCAGGGAGCGGGTCAGTGTGAGGCTGCAGCGGGGCAGTGTGAGGCTGCAGCGGGTCAGTGTGAGGCTGCAGCGGGGCAGTGTGAGGCTGCAGCGGGCGGAGGGCTCAGTGCGGAGGGCTCAGTGCGGAGGAGCTGCTGCTGCTGCTTGTTGTTGTTGTTGTTGTTGTTGTTGTTCATCTCCTCTCTGCTTCTGGGGTCCACAGGCAGTCCCCAACAACCTCTCTTCTCTTTTCTGTGCTCCTGCTCCTCCTCCTCGCAGCCCCAGACGCACAGGAATGTGTGGGCGGAGCCAAACTCAGGCGGAGACACTGGAACCAAAACTGATAATACAATCAATAATCAATAAATCAATAAACGTTAGCACGGCCGCTAACATGCATGCAATGCAATAAATACATGTAGGGTGTAAAATGTGTAGAGATGAATGAGTTTCAGCTGCTAATGACACCCACAGCAATAAACTACAGCTTCCGGTTGTCTCAACTTCAAAATAAAGTCCGCATTCCTCATTTCAGGCCAATGCTTTTGTTTTTCTATAAACTGTTCAAATGTTTTACACAAGATAAAGTTAAAGAGAAAGTTCTGTTCTTTCATATATTACAGAATAGTTGTCCTGTAAGTGCAGTCTGCTGAGGAAGATCATGTGATGTGATCAAGAGCTCCAGAACAGCAACTTCGTTGAAGGTCAATAATGAGCTTTTTTCTTTTAATTTGAAACCTCAAATTCATTCAGAATTATTTTATAATTAATCACAGGCCTTTAAGTTGAATAAAAAATACGTTTTACTTATTAAAATTATACAAATTAAAATATTTCACATAAACAATGAGTAATAATATATAATAATATAATATAAATATATCTTTTTTAACTTTGTGGTATAAAGTAATACAATTTAATTTCTAAGCATTAAATTTAAGGTGCACATTCATTAAGACACCTAAAATAATAAAACTATTAATATAATAATAATAATAATAATGATGATCTTTATTTTTCTTTTTATTTGTCTTGTGTTCATTCTTTTTTTTAATAGTTTTAGTAATTATTATAAATATAACAGCTGCTCTTTTCCCGCTGAGAAATTAATATGATTAAGTTCGACGCTTTTATTTTGAAATCCACATCACCGATGTCCGGTCACTTCCGTTATCTTGACGCAGTTTCTCTGAGCTGAATCCACAGGTTTCCTCATAGCCCCGCCCACATCCAACACACCGACCAATCAGATCAGCCCTGCGGTTTAAAGCCGCTAAGCTCCGCCCTCCCGAGCCGCTGACTGACAGCTGACGCAGCCAATCACTTAAAGCCAAGAATACCTCTGACGTAGCCCCGCCTCCGCTGTCACAGCAACAGCCAATCAGCGTCCAGCAGAGAAAAACATTGAAAACATTAAAAAAATAAATAATTAAAACATACATGACATAAAAGACACACATATATACATTTTAATGCAAAAATCTATACATATTTAACATAAATATAATAAAAAATGTATTTGTAATTTTATCATTGTAAAATATTTTATTTCTCAATCATTATTTTTAAAACATATAACTCAAAACACATATATACATTATAGTGTCATATATCTATTAACCTCATGTATATTAAATAACCTGCACAATAATACTATATATTTTATATACACATTATCCCAGAATCCTTTGCACTATTGTTTACTGTCTACAATTGTTGTTTATATCTGTAGATAGTTTATGTTTACTGTGATGAGCTTGTTGTCTAATTGTGTGTTTTTAATGAGTTACTTACACGTTTTCTACCCTGTCAGTGACTTTAGGAAGCAGTGAACACAGGGAGGTTAAAGCCTGCTCACACACTGACTGTGGAACATCAACACAAATACAATGTGAGAAAAAAGTTTATTATCGCAAACATCACAGAGAAAGGAAGCAGAGACAGTGAACTAAAAGCAACAGTCACTGCTCAGGAAGGAAATGAAGAACAGATAAAAGAGCGATAACAACTGACAAGAATGTGACAAAGCAGAAATAAAGAGATAAAACAAACACACACAGACTAATGTTTCCTGATAATACACAGATCAGAAACAAACTTTAACTGAAGGAGCTTCCTCTGCATTTACATTTCTCTCCCGCTGAACAACCTTCACTCACATCTGCATGAAGAGACGTGAGAAAGACTCTTATTGTCAATCCAGTGTTTACTGAGGATTGGACAAACACTTTTAATGGCATCTGTGGACAATAACAACAACACTTCAAACTGAACATCGACAACCTCGTCCTTTATTGAGAGGGATTTCTTAATGCAAAGATTAACAGAAGTGACTTTAGGTTATATTCCAGGGAACGCCAGCCTTCCTCCTCCCATCCTTAACTTTAAATTATAATAATCATCAGCCTCTGTTGAACCTGCTTCAGGTCAACCGCTCTCTAGTTCTAGGAGACATTTCTAGGAGAACGTAGTCACGCACCATCTACTCAGTCAATGATTTGGGTGAAACTGGATCATATTTTATGCAGAAGATGTTCTCTGGCTGCTTCCCCCCCCCCCCAACTCTGATTCTGCCAAATGTAGCTGCTGTTGGTGTTGACGCAGCACTGAAGCTTTGGACCGCTGGGAGGAGGGGGAGGATGTTTTCAGACCTCGGATGTCAGGGAGAGTGGGCAATGTCACCGGGCTCAGCGGCTTCTATGGACACGGACATGTACGAAAACCAGATTTTACATAATGTTGCTTTAATCCTTCAGTTTTTGGAGATACATGTTTTTTACTGAACAGCCACGATGTGAAATAAAAAGCTAGAAAACTTAATAATTACAAAGTTTCACAGTTTTAAAATGCCCTTGAATTACAGTTTTTGTGATCCGCTCCTAACAGAGCTACAACATCGTGTACCTCCTCAAACACAATGAAACAGTGTTCAACCATCAGTATTCTCACATAAAATGAAAAAAAGAAAAAGGCATAAAATCTAAATTATGATCAGTAACTACATTTACAAGGTTGGCAGGAGTCAAACGTGACCCGTACTCTCCCCCTTCTTCCTTTACGTGGTGGCGTTCAGGTCATCAGTCTTTTGTATAAAGAAGAAAATAGCAGATGATGTCGTGTTTGGAGACGAAAAGAAGTCGTTAGATGGAAGAGGAAGCGTCCTTCAGGATTTCTCCCGCATGATGTCGGTCAGGAAGATGATGTTGTCTGGAGGAGGAAACAGAACCCGTAACGATAAAAGGACCAGTGTGTGGGAGGCTGCAACTAACTGAATACCGCCCCGTATCTAGAGCCAGGGTTTGGTTTGTCTGGTCTACTGTAGAAACACAGCACATTAAAAACAGTAACAAAAACACAATGATTCAGGTGATTATACACTAATGAAAACATACCTATGAATATTATATTATTATATTATTAATTGTTACACTCTGGACCTTCAAGGACGCCATCGTGGTCACATAAAGTCACATAAAGCATTTGTTTGTTCTCTGACCTGCGATGATGGTGGTAGCCTGACGTCTGATTTGGTTCTTGTCCACATAGTCTCCGTAGTCTATCTTCCCCTCCACTAGAACCCTACTCCTGAGAGAGAGACACAGACAGAGAGACAGAGAGAGAGAGAGAGAGAGACACAGAGAGAGAGAGACACATCAGGAGACAGCTATTAATTCAGAGTGATTTGCCTCCGATGTGGGTGCGTAACGGGGTCTGCAGCGAGCGAGGCGGACGCTACGCGACTGTTTCCTGTGTGGTGCTGTAAAAAACAAATCCTGAACATGACGGGCTGATGATGTGACGGGTGGTTGTCTTCATTGTCAGCTTTTCCTTACTGTAGCCCAACAACCCAGAGAGGACTCCAACAGACAACATATGATCATTAATACATGTAAATGTATTCAAGGTCTGGGTCTGGGGGGTCGTACCCTTTCTTGATGTGCTGGTAGGCCACATCCCTCAAACCGGGTTTGAAGACGGACACGCGATGCCAAGTCGTCTTCTGACTGACGTCACCTGAAATCACAACACAGCACACACACGGTCACAGTTACTGTCAACACCTGAGGAAACATGGTACAGATATGAGGACAGAGGGAGATAATGGAGCCATTGAAGGTTTATCTATAATCTATAATAATGAGGTGAATGAAGCATTAGGGTTGGAGATGTTTCAGTTATCAGTGTGTCTACAAATCCATCATGTGCTCATTGAGACAGAAGTTTAGTGTAACACTGACCTCTAGTGGCAAAATGTGATTGTAACATCTTCTAAATCAGCTCTATAGTGAGTTACATCTTCCTGAGCTCAATATATAATAATATATGTAAGTCCATTGGCTGCATTAAAGTATTCACTTCCTGTCAATCCAAACCATCAAAAGTATTCAAAATATACTAAAAGTACCAAAATAAATGTAAAAATACAAAAGTAACGTCGATAAGAAATAAGAAGAGCGACTGAAACTGCTGTTTTTATCATTTATGTCGGTGAATTAAGGATTTATTTCCACCAAACCAGAGTTGGTGATGTAAAGTTAGTAGTTTTGTGAATGGAGTCTGGTGGGTGTTATCCACTGGTAGCACCGTAACCAACACAGATCCTGTGGATAATGAAACCAGTTGTACCCATTGAGGTTATCTCTCCCTCTCCAGTGCGCCACATCTCATTGGTTGCCACCGAGAAGATGGTCACAGGGTTACGACCGTCCGCTTGTCTCATCACCGGGTCCTGACCCACTCGGCCCAACAGCTGCACTCGGTTTATCGCTGGAACAGAAACACACACGGACACATTTAATGGGAACAGAACGGAGTTGATGGGAGAAACCAGATCAGATGTTTCTCAGGAGGTTCACTCACATTTCTCCAGGCTTAAATTCTGGTCGGCGCTGCAGTACCTCACTGCCTGTCTGAAGATCTGTGGACGGACGACACGCAGATTAAATCCTGACTATCTACCTCCAGTACAGGGGAAGGTTTGTAGCTCCAGATGGTCCCGTCAATAACAACAACAATAAACACACATTTATGGATCCAGTATGATTAATATGGTCTCATTCACAGTGAGCCCTTTTCTACCATTAACTGATCAAAGTAGTGTTGCACGGTGCACCGATACTTCAAAAGTATCGCCATTCTCGGAAATTAAAAACGTCACGATTCCTAAATTTAGTATCGATACTTTTAAGAATGACCGCGTTCCAGATTTGTAAGAGTCGTATTTCATGTTGGCGTGTGCAGCATGCTTCCAGTGCCTCCCTATGGACGTCTGTGTGGTTTCTCCTCACGCTGCAGCTGTCATGTGACAAACACTGTAACGAGATGGCTCAATGTGCGAGCACAATGATACTGTGGCCGCCGGTCCACGACTGGTAGAAAAAGATGACGCGAGGAGTGAAATATGGAAGTACTACCTTGCTGACAGTGAGGGCAAAGCTACCGATAAGTCCAGACCTGTTTGTCGTCAGTGCTACAAACAATGCAAACAAAGAGAGCAAACACCTCCAACCTGGAGAAACTCTCGGCCGACAAACACGCCGCGTTGTACGAGGAGTCTAAAGACCGACAGTTAGTATGTGAAAGATAACACGACCACGTTCGTGCCCTTAAATAAGTCAAATGAGAAGGCTATGGTTTATTTTGCACCACCGTAGTTTGACGAGGCTATCTAGAGAAATAGTAGACTAACTATGGGCATTATCCTCATGGCTGACCAACAGACTGCCTACGGATAATTCAACATCTCTGAAAACACAACTTTCACAGATAACGTTAATAATTTACAAGCTGCTAAAATAAAGCATACAAACATCAGCTAAAATGATCTATAGGCTATATCGGTATGGAAACAATAATGTTGGTATCGTGACAACAGTAGATCAAAGTGACATATTTTATAGATATTCCATATTATATTGGACGTATAACAATAACAAACAGGAGGTTTGAGTTTGAGTGTCAATGTTGATCAGAAATCAGTTTTTATACAATTCTGTTTGTATTTTTTATAAAAACTGAAGTTTATAATTTGTTCTATTTTGTTTTTGGTTGTTTGATCTGCTCACTTTGTTTATCGGAGACTAAAGAGTGAATATAGTTTCTGTTTAATCTAAACTTTAAAAATAACAATTTCATTTACTTTTATTCACAGAAATTAATGTTCAGATATCGTCCTGCTGTTTGTATTTCTATACTTTTTACCACCCTTAAAATCAAGAAGGCCCTGAGACCCCCCCCCCCCCCCAGGAGCCCTGAGACCCCCCCCAGGAGCCCTGGTAGTAACAGTCACTCACCTGCACTGAGGCTCTTCTCAACATCTTGTCTGTTTGTGCAGAAAGTTCTGAGAGGTCCAACAGCAGCTCAACGGTCTGAACAATAAATCAACAAAACATCAACAACATCAACAACATCAACAACAACATCAACAACATCAACAACAACATCAACAACAACATCAACAATAAATCAACAACAATAAATCACATTATTTTATTTATATTCACATAAACTTTATTAAGTTCAACACTGGAGGAAATGTTCTGTGATCTTCAGTGAACGAACCTACACACACACACACACACACACACACACACACACAGTCACACACACACACACACACACAGACACACACACACACACACACACACACACACACACACACACACACACACAGTAACACACACACACACACACACACACACACACACACACACACACACACACACACACAGTAACACACACACAGTAACACACACACAGTAACACACACACACTAACACACAGAACACACACAACACACACAGTACACACACACACACACACACAGTAACACACACACACACACACAGTAACACACACAGTAACACACACACAGTAACACACACAGTAACACACACACACTAACACACACTGAAGTAACAAAACACACACAGTAACACACACACACACACACACACACACACACACACACACACACACACACACACACACACACACACACACACACACACACACACACACACACACACACACACTGTCCGGGTCGCTCCGGTTCCGGTTCTGGTTGTGGTTCTGGTTCTGGTTCTGGTTCCGGTTCTGGTTCTGGTTCTGGGTCAATCTGCGGAACCAAACACGTGATCTTGGAGTCAAAGTCAGCGGCAGTCTCCCGCCACGGGCCGCGGACCGGAAACTAATCGGTTAAATTACCGTTGCTCTCTCCCGGGTTCGGTGTACCGGGTTCGGTGGACCGGGTTCGGTGGACCGGGTTCGGTGGACCGGGTTCGGGTTAATATTAAAGATAAACAACTTACCAGCGAGCTTAACCCCACACTGTTCACTGTCCGTCCCCAACACTGCTCCGACTTTCTACCGCAGGACCAAAGTTCCGCTGTGCGAGGGCTTCTTTTCTTCTTCTTCTTCGGGTTTTAATGGCGGTTGACAAACCAGCTTACAGGAGCATTACCGCCACCTGCCGGAGGTCCCGGGAGGCGGGAAATAAAATAACGATATTCTTAAAACTTCAATAATTCAATACAAATATTTATGTTATTATTATATTAGTATTATTATTAGTAATATTAACCAATATTTACATTTATTGTACAACACAATATTTGAATTAGGATTAAAAGTAAAATACACTTTTACTGTGACAAAATCATTAACATAAACAGTAAAGAGCATATTATAATATTATTATTATTATTATTAGTATTAACCAATATTTACATTAATAATATTATTATAATATTATAACATTATTATTATTATTGGTATTAACCAATATTTACATTAATAATATTATTATAATATTATAACATTATTATTATTATTAATATTAACCAATATTTACATTAATAATATTAGTACAACATTATAACAATATTTGATTATTAGGATTAACCAATATGTACATTAATAACTTATTTACTTGTAACAATAATCATTAACATACAATATTTACTAAGAGCATATTATAATATTATTATTATTATTAGTAGTATTAACCAATATTTACATTAATAATATTATTATAATGTTATAACATTATTATTATTATTAGTATTAACCAATATTTACATTAATAATATCATTATAATATTATAACATTATTATTATTATTGGTATTAACCAATATTTACATTAATAATATCATTATAACATTATAACATTATTATTATTATTAGTATTAACCAATATTTACATTAATAATATCATTATAACATTATAACATTATTATTATTATTAGTATTAACCAATATTTACATTAATAATATCATTATAATATTATAACATTATTATTATTAGTAGTATTAACCAATATTTACATTAATAATATTATTATAACATTATAACATTATTATTATTATTAGTATTAACCAATATTTACATTAATAATATTATTATAACATTATAACATTATTATTATTATTAGTATTAACCAATATTTACATTAATAATATCATTATAACATTATAACATTATTATTATTATTAGTATTAACCAATATTTACATTAATAATATTATTATAATATTATAACATTATTATTATTATTAGTATTAACCAATATTTACATTAATAATATCATTATAATGTTATAACATTATTATTATTATTAGTATTAACCAATATTTACATTAATAATATTATTATAATGTTATAACATTATTATTATTATTAGTATTAACCAATATTTACATTAATAATATTATTATAATATTATAATATTATTATTATTAGTAGTATTAACCAATATTTACATTAATAATATTATTATAATGTTATAACATTATTATTATTATTAGTATTAACCAATATTTACATTAATAATATTATTATAACATTATAACATTATTATTATTATTAGTATTAACCAATATTTACATTAATAATATTATTATAATATTATAACATTATTATTATTATTAGTATTAACCAATATTTACATTAATAATATTATTATAATGTTATAACACGACCACTCTCCACTCTGTCCAGCAGGTGGCGGTAATGCGTCTGTAAGCTGGTTTAAAACCAGAAGAAGAAGAACGGGTGGGGGGGGGCAGAAAGTTTGTGGAGGCCAGATCACGTGGTCCTCCAGCCGGACCCTGTGAGTCCGGTTCTGGAGCTCAGCTGTGCGGACTGCTCCACACCGAGCTCAGCTGGAGATCCAGGGTGGTCCAGAGCCTCGGCACTCGACCTCAGCCTGAATCCGGTCCATGTGAAGAGATTGTGGGGTCGAGACTGGGAGTCTGCCGGAGGTATGTGGATCCAGTCTGATGACATAACTCAGGACCAGAGTACACTACATCTCATAATCAATACTATCAATAACTGCACGCAGCAGCTGATCTCCTGTGTGTTAATGGAGTTCAGTGTTGTTATTAATTAATAACAAATAATCATCTAAACTTTAACAAGAACTATTTATATAGTTTACTGTATGTGTGTGAGTTTTATTAAATTAATACCACAGTTACAGTTACACTTACTAATTACATGCAGTCGGTAACTTAATCCAAGTATCACAATATTAAAGTAACTTGATTACTGTTACTTTTGGATTACCCCAACACCAAATATGCAAACAAAGGCAAGAGAATAGAGATATAGAACATAAAATATATAATAAGTATTATAGTGTATTATATTATAGTATATTATATTATAGTGTATTATATTATATTATAGTGTATTATAGTGTATTATATTATAGTATATTATATTATATTATGTGTATTATATTATATTATAGTATATTATGTTATAGTGTATTATATTATATTATGTATATTATGTTATATGTATTATATTATATTATATATATTATATTATATTATAGTGTATTATAGTGTATTATATTATATTATATTATATTATATTATAGTGTATTATATTATATTATAGTATATTATAGTGTATTATATTATATTATAGTGTATTATAGTGTATTATATTATAGTATATTATATTATAGTGTATTATATTATATTATAGTGTATTATAGTGTATTATATTATAGTATATTATATTATATTATATTATAGTATATTATGTTATAGTGTATTATATTATATTATAGTATATTATATTATATTATAGTGTATTATAGTGTATTATATTATAGTATATTATATTATATTATAGTGTATTATATTATATTATAGTATATTATGTTATAGTGTATTATATTATATTATATTATATTATATTATAGTGTATTATATTATATCATATTATATTATAGTGTATTATATTATATTATATTATATTATATTATGTTATAGTGTATTATATTATATTATAGTGTATTATAGTGTATTATATTATATTATATTATAGTGTATTATCGTATATTATATTATAGTGTATTATATTATATTATAGTATATTATAGTGTATTATATTATATTATATTATATTAAAGTATATTATAGTGTATTATATTATATTATAGTATATTATGTTATAGTATATTATATTATAGTGTATTATAGTGTATTATATTATATTATAGTGTATTATATTATAGTGTATTATATTATATTATATTATATTATGTTATAGTGTATTATATTATAGTGTATTATAGTGTATTATATTATATCATATTATATTATAGTGTATTATATTATATTATATTATAGTGTATTATAGTATATTATATTATAGTGTATTATAGTATATTATATTATATCATATTATATTATAGTGTTTATATTATATTATATTATAGTGTATTATAGTGTATTATATTATATCATATTATATTATATTATAGTGTATTATAGTGTATTATATTATATTATAGTGTATTATATTATATTGTATTATATTATAGTATATTATAGTGTATTATATTATATTATATTATAGTATATTATGTTATAGTATATTATATTATAGTGTATTATATTATATTATATTATAGTGTATTATAGTGTATTATAGTATATTATATTATATCATATTATATTATAGTGTATTATATTATATTATATTATAGTATATTATAGTGTATTATATTATATTATATTATAGTGTATTATAGTGTATTATAGTATATTATATTATATCATATTATATTATAGTGTATTATATTATATTATATTATAGTATATTATAGTGTATTATATTATATTATATTATATTATAGTATATTATAGTGTATTATATTATATTATAGTGTATTATATTATATTATATTATTGTGTATTATAGTGTATTATAGTTTATTATATTATATCATATTATATTATAGTATTTTATATTATAGTGTATTATAGTGTATTATATTATATTATAGTATATTATAGTGTATTGTATTATATTATATTATAGTATATTATGTTATAGTATATTATATTATAGTGTATTATAGTGTATTATATTATATTATAGTGTATTATATTATATTATATTATAGTGTATTATAGTGTATTAAAGTATATTATATTATATCATATTATATTATAGTATATTATATTATATTATAGTGTATTATAGTGTATTATAGTATATTATATTATATCATATTATATTATAGTGTATTATATTATATTATATTATAGTGTATTATAGTGTATTATATTATATCATATTATATTATATTATAGTGTATTATAGTGTATTATATTATATTATAGTGTATTGTATTATATTATATTATATTATATTATGTTATATTATATTATGTTATAGTGTATTATATTATATTATAGTGTATTATATTATATTATAGTGTATTATAGTGTATTATATTATATTATATTATATTATATTATATTATAGTGTATTATATTATATTATATTATAGTGTATTATAGTGTATTATATTATATTATAGTGTATTATATTATATTATATTATAGTGTATTATATTATATTATATTATATTATATTATGTTATAGTGTATTATATTATATTATAGTGTATTATAGTGTATTATAGTATATTATATTATATTATAGTATATTATGTTATAGTGTATTATATTATATTATAGTATATTATAGTGTATTATATTATATTATATTATATTAAAGTATATTATAGTGTATTATATTATATTATAGTATATTATGTTATAGTATATTATATTATAGTGTATTATAGTGTATTATATTATATTATAGTGTATTATATTATAGTGTATTATATTATATTATATTATATTATGTTATAGTGTATTATATTATAGTGTATTATAGTGTATTATATTATATCATATTATATTATAGTGTATTATATTATATTATATTATAGTGTATTATAGTATATTATATTATAGTGTATTATAGTATATTATATTATATCATATTATATTATAGTGTATTATATTATATTATATTATAGTGTATTATAGTGTATTATATTATATCATATTATATTATATTATAGTGTATTATAGTGTATTATATTATATTATAGTGTATTATATTATATTATATTATATTATAGTATATTATAGTGTATTATATTATATTATATTATAGTATATTATGTTATAGTATATTATATTATATTGTATTATATTATATTATATTATAGTGTATTATAGTGTATTATAGTATATTATATTATATCATATTATATTATAGTGTATTATATTATATTATATTATAGTATATTATAGTGTATTATATTATATTATATTATAGTGTATTATAGTGTATTATAGTATATTATATTATATCATATTATATTATAGTGTATTATATTATATTATATTATAGTATATTATAGTGTATTATATTATATTATATTATATTATAGTATATTATAGTGTATTATATTATATTATAGTGTATTATATTATATTATATTATTGTGTATTATAGTGTATTATAGTTTATTATATTATATCATATTATATTATAGTATATTTTGTATATTATAGTGTATTATATTATATTATAGTATATTATAGTGTATTGTATTATATTATATTATAGTATATTATGTTATAGTATATTATATTATAGTGTATTATAGTGTATTATATTATATTATAGTGTATTATATTATATTATATTATAGTGTATTATAGTGTATTAAAGTATATTATATTATATCATATTATATTATAGTATATTATATTATATTATAGTATATTATATTATAGTGTATTATAGTATATTATATTATATCATATTATATTATAGTGTATTATATTATATTATATTATAGTGTATTATAGTGTATTATATTATATCATATTATATTATATTATAGTGTATTATAGTGTATTATATTATATTATAGTGTATTGTATTATATTATATTATATTATATTATGTTATAGTATATTATATTATAGTGTATTATATTATATTATAGTGTATTATATTATATTATAGTGTATTATAGTGTATTATAGTATATTATATTATATCATATTATATTATAGTGTATTATATTATATTATATTATAGTGTATTATAGTGTATTATATTATATTATAGTGTATTATAGTATATTATATTATAGTGTATTATAGTATATTATATTATATTATAGTGTATTATATTATATTATATTATATTATATTATATTATAGTGTATTATAGTATATTATATTATAGTGTATTATATTATATTATATTATATTATATTATAGTGTATTATATTATATTATAGTATATTATATTATATTATATTATATTATAGTGTATTATAGTATATTATATTATATTATAGTGTATTATATTATATTATATTATATTATATTATATTATAGTGTATTATAGTATATTATATTATAGTGTATTATATTATATTATAGTGTATTATAGTATATTATAGTGTATTATATTATAGTGTATTATAGTGTATTATATTATATTATATTATAGTATATTATAGTATATTATATTATATTATAGTGTATTCTGTGAGACAACAGAACAATGTAATATTAGAAAAGAAAATGGAAACAGAAACAATCAACAATGTTTCTTCTGCTCGTCAAATTGTAATCCTGCTAAATAATCCTGTAATCTGATTACATCTTTTGTTCTGTAATTGTAATGGATTACAGTCTATCCTATACTGTAACTCAGATACATGTAATCTGTTACACTGAATTTCAATCTGCTGCATCCATCCATCCATCTTTGTGTCCTTTGAGAGCACAAACAACCTCCTACGAAGGCTTCTGTACATAATTAAAGGTAAGTTACTTATGAACGTGTCTGTGTATGTGTATGTGTAAGGGAGTTATTATTTGAAGGATTAAACCATTCCTGTAAAGAAGTCTCCCTCCAGTCAGAACTCAGAGTTTCTCCTTTTCCTACAGTCTGATGTTTGAATGATGTCTGAGACTCCAGAAGGAGGTTTTCACTTTCATCTGCTGGAAGTGGAAAGTTTCTCTGAGCTCACTGAACAGCTGATTTTAAGGGGCGGGGCCTACGAGCAGGATTTGTGACATCACAAATAAGTTCAGGAAGTAAATCCTGGTTCAGTGTGCGACCACAGTGAGATCCACCAGTGCACAGACACTGGTTTCATAGATTGAGGGATTTCTAATGAGGTAGAATGAGTTTGATGACGTTTTAAGGATTTTAATGTGGAAATTATCCTTTTTCTTTGCAGACAGAACATCAGTGTGGACGAGCTAACGAGCTTTTAAAAGAGTTTATTTTATATTTGATTCATGAGTTAATTATGGAAGCCCATTTCTGCCAATGTGATGGGGGGGGGGGGGTCCGGGGTTTCTCAATGAGCTTCCATCATTAACAAATGACTTGGAAACTGACCAATAAATGAGCTCGCCGCCTGAAAGAAACTCGAGATGGAAGAGACTGTTGTTCTTTCTGTGAGATTGTCTGTTTAATGAATTATTTGTGTGTATTACAGTAACGTCTGTAATAATTACTGTATTCTAATCGATTATTTTACATTAAACGTGCAGGATTTGTTGAATATTGAGTGGCTATTGATTCATTGGAGGTGATGATTGGTTACGTATTGATGACATTCTGTGTGAAACAAAAAACGTGATGTTCTTGCACAAGTGTGACTGTTGGACCTCGAACTTTGAACCTCTGGCCACGCTCCAATCTAATCTAACTTTATTAACAAAATATTCAGCAACAAAACAAACTGAAGCAGGAATACAGTGTGAATATATGGAAATATCATTTCTGTAAGAGATTCAATTAAATTAATACTGCAAAATAATATTTATTAAGAGTTTTTACTGTCTTCTTACTGTTAAATTATTATAATTATGGCGCCATATTCAGATTTGCTGAACAGTTAGTTCAGTTTTTATGTATCTCCTCATCTTCCTCCTTAAAGAGTCCTGAACTCTGGCACATTAACGAGCATCACCTGTGAGGTAACCCAGAGGGGGCGGTCCCATAAAGAACTGCTAGAGGAAGGTGTGCAGACGGGTATAAAGTCTACCAGAGAGCTCATTCAGGTGTCTCTGATCCCTCGGGGAGGAAGGTGCGTCAACCTCTGCTCAAATTTCTTTTCATTTAAACACTCGTACGAGACAACAGGACCACTGAATTACTTTTTAAAATAACGAAGTCATTCTTTTTTGTGGTGTGATAATATATAATATTATGAAATGTATTTGTAATTAGTTACACTACTAGTTACTGGGGAAGTAATAGTAACTCCTCTCCACTTGTCCCCGACACTGGCTGCAGTTTCTTGGCACCAAAACCGGGTCACTGGGTTTGACCCCCGAACTGAAAACATCGTCCAGCTTCTAGAAACTTTGACTCTGCTTCCTCTTTACAGATTATGAATCTTTTGTTTTCACTCTCATCGTCTCTGACAGCAGGCGTAAAAAGACGATCATTAACTTTCACATGTTGGACTTGAACGCAACGCGACCATAGAGGCCCCTGGCTGCTGCTGGATATTAACCGCAGTGTCAGGCTGACCCGGGTCAACACACCGAGTACAGTCTGTGTGATGAATCTGATCAGCGTCAACAGATTCCCACTGAGGTCAGTGTACTTTATTACACAGCCATACCTGCCTCAGGTGAGCTAGTTACAGGCTTGGGGAGTAATGGATTACATGTAACTGAGTTACGTATCAGGATACAAACAAAGGCAACTGTAATCCATTACAATTACAGAAGAAAGAGGTAATGAGATTACAGTTACATTTAGTAGAAATTGGGATTATTTAGCAGGATTACAATTTTAGGTTCAGGTTTTCTTTGAAAAGGACACACAAGGACTGTTGTCTTATAGAATACACTCAGATCAATACTTATTATTGATATTTCTTGTCTTTATTTGTGTTGAGATTATCCAAAAGTAACAGAAAGTAATCAAGTTACTTGTTTAATATTGATACTTGGATTAGGTTACTGACTAATTAGTAACAATCGGATTAACCCTAAATGAGCATTGTAAGGCTGACGTATGTTTCGGGGCTGATTGTTAACCTGTACCCGGTGCTCGTGTCTCCACAGACGGTTATCGGCAATGTCTCAGACCGTCCCTCCGATCCTCTCCGTGGCCCCCACTCGGGCTCTGGTCGATGAGAAGTTCAAGGTCGTGGTGGAGAATCTGCCTCCAGGATGTCCAGTAACGCTCCACTCCCTCCACCACTCGGAGGACAAGGACTACTGGGAGGCGTACGGACACTACATCAGTGATCACACAGGAACCGTGTCTGGTGGGTCTTCTTCCTTTGTGTCTCCTCCTCCTCCTCACACTGGTTTTTAAATTGGCCTCATATGCTAAACACAGAAATATCACAGATAATTAACTTACCTATGGAAGCCCGGAGAGGTCCTGTTTAAAACTATTTAAACTATATAATATATAGTGTTGGATATTTTGTATGTTTTGTTTTTCTTGTCGTTGACATTTTACTGATTCTGTAGTTGCGGAGGATTTGAGTTTCGGGGGCACGTACACAGGAAGAGAAGCCATGGGTTTGTTGTGGAGCATGCGTCCTGTCCCCGGCAGCCGCACAGGCCTCAGGTAAAACACAAATATTACAATGAATAGTCTTATTTACCTCTGTAATGATTAATGATTAATGATGTCTGATTACACCTGAGTGGATGCAGAAAATCCCTGTTTTCCTTTCACAATGTAACATTAAACAAATACCAATCTACAGCTTTAAGATGAGCTGGTTAGAGTTTAATTTCCAGACGCTTGTTACTCCGTAAACCCTGATGACCTCTTGTCTTTACCCGCCAGGTTGAGGAAGATGAACGTCTGCAGTCCCATGCTGGTCAACATCTCGGCCTACAGTGGACATGTGGCCGAGGGCTTCAGGGAGCGCGCTCCTCTGGCGTCGGTGCTCACGGAGAGATGGTACATGGCTCCGGGGGTGCGGAGGGTCGATATCAGAGAGAACGGAGTGCGAGGAACCCTCTTCATACCTCCAGGTACCTGAAAGAGACCGGGACATCCTCTGATCCCTTTTGCTGTTTGGTTTTTGCATGATCAGTGATTGGTGTGTTTAAAATGTGTTTCCTCAGGTCCGGGTCCGTTCCCGGGGGTGTTGGATATGTGGGGGGGCGGCGGGGGGCTGTTAGAGTACCGTTCGTCCTTGCTGGCGTCCCACGGTTACGTTTCTTTAGCACTGGAGTATTTCTCCCCCGGTGAGCTGGAGTCTGCAGATCTAGAGTTCAACTACTTTGAGGTTTGTGTTCATTTTATTTTCTAACTGAGTTGTAGCGAGGTCCCGTCCTCGTCACGCTCCTCGTAATGAACTGACAGGACAGGTAACTCCCCAGTTACTGCACGGACACAGTTCCATACAATCAAACAGCACAAATCATACAAAATAATACGCAAAATATACAAGTAAGCTCTAAATGTGTGATAAAGATAGGCCACTGGTGAGCATGATGTTGCTATGCAATGTATTGCACATGTAGCCAACATAAATACACCATCTGTATTTTTATACATATATATTTAAATATCTGAGTACATGTAAACAAATAATAAACTCAATAGGTTGCCGATGCAAACAGTTTATTAGATGTTTTTTCCTTTTATCTATCTATTTCTGCACAGACGGCGTTTAATATCGTCAAGGACCATCCTCAAGTGATCCCGGACAAAGTTGGACTATTCGGTCTTTCCCTCGGCTCCATTGTGACCATGCATTTGGCATCCGAGAGCACCGTTATCAAGGCAAGTTACAAACAAGCAGAGTTGTTTCATTAGCTCTGAATATGTGTCCTCTCCTCTCCTGCTGACGGAGAGTGGAGACCCAGGCGGAGATCCGGTGTCTTAGTGTGTCGCTGTGTTGTCTTCCAGCCTGGTTGCTGTGTTTGTATCAGCGGCAACCACTTCCACGAGCGCGGGAAGACCCTGAGAGGAATCCTTCAAACAATGGGCAGGTAGGTTCTCTATTCTGTCACATACATACATACATACATACATACATACATACATCAACAGGAAGTGAACGGTTGCTTGTGATGGCAGGAATTCTCACATGGCGCGCGTGGATGAGAACAACCATCACATATGGCGATATATTGGTCTAGAGGTTATGAAGGACCCCTCAAAGAAACTGGACGTGAGTACATGCTGCACTAATTACCATATAATGCCATTAGGTGGTTCACTACATGTTTAAGCAGGTACTAATATAACAAGGATGAAATCTGTTCTCCTGAAGGTTTATTTCCACTAATGTTTGATCATTACGGTTCTATGGAAGCTCATTTCTGTCAATATCATAAAAAATCCTGTCAATCATTACATATAGATATAGTTTATTCTAACAAACAGTATTAATGTTATTTTATTATTATTGTTAATAATATTAAAGTTGTGGTTCATTCTCTGCAAGGTGGGAAAAATAAACTGTCCAATGCTGTTGGTCAACGGTTGTGATGATCAGAACTGGCCCGCAGTGGAGTCTGCTGAAGATGTGAGTACACACACTGTGTGAATGTGTGTGTGTTAACTGGGAATTAGCAGATTTGAACAGGTTCATTTGGATTTGACCTTTGACCCTCAGATAGCCCAGATGATGCGAGCAGCAGGGAAGGAGCACCTGCTGACCAGACTGGAATACCCCGACACCGGACATCTGATTGAGCCGCCCTTCTCGCCCCACTTCAGGGCCACTAAGTTTATAACACACATCACCAAAGAGAAAGGTGAGTCACACGGGGTTAGTTCTTTTATTTTGGTGGTGCTCCTTTCACTTCCTGTCAGAGAGACAGATCTTTTCCTCTATTACTCTCCACCTTTTAGATACCACAGTGCTCCTCGTTTATTACTTCATATGTCATATACTCCAGCCTCCACCGGGTGGCGCCGTTACCACGTTACCAAGGGTTTTCACTGACCTGGTCCCAACGGCCTCGTTAAAACTCCACAGAACTGAGAACTGATTCATGTGAGCTGCTTTCAGAAAAGAGATTTTAATCTCAAGGGACTTCCTGGTTAACATTGATCACAATTTTTAGAAAAGTGTCATAAAATCCGACATTTTAGGTTTCAACAATCCCAGAAAAAGCCTGACGGAAGTTCTGGAAGGATGGATATTATTTATCTGTTTACATCCTCCAGCTGTGTTTAAGTTTTCTCTCAAATATAAGCACTGCCATTACTTATTTATAACTCTTTTCAAAAGTACTGCCACGGTAATTAGTTACACTACTAGTTATATTACTTTCCCCCACGAAATTGCTAATTGTGTCTCCAAAATGTAGTTTTGTTTGTTGAAATCAAAGTGATGTGAATATTTCCAGCTGCTGAAGGAGAGTTTCCTCCAAGGATGTGAATGATTGGGTGACAACAGAATAAAGGTTGTAAGCAGTACTGTATCTGTGTATTATTAATATAATCCCTATTAATGGTGATAATGGAGTATAACGTCGTGTGTTTCAGTGATATTGCTGTGGGGAGGACAAACCAAACCCCACTCAGACGCTCAGGAAGACTCCTGGAGGAAGATTTTAGCCTTTCTGAAGCATCATTTGTACTCGAGCTCGACTCCCAGAGCTCGGATGTGAGTGCAGAACACAGACCATGTTTACTACCTCAACGTCACCACGCGGGTTCTCGCTCTACCAGGCGCCTTCGCTGTGATGAACTGAAGTACTGAAGATTTGTATTAGGTTGTTTAACCACATTTATTCTTCTTCTCTATTATTATCTTTCTGTCTTTGTTTAATTATCTGCAGGCTTCAAACTTTAAGGTGTATCTACATGTGGCAGTAATAATAATGTTAGTTTGAGGATGAAATTCTCCAAAGGAACAAAGGAGAGATTGTGTTTAATTAAATTAATTAAATGATAATATAATTTCGTATTGTTTTCTTTTCATATTCTTTTATCAGATACTGGTTCATTTCTCACTGTTCTTGTACGATTGCTTGTGTTCAGACATTGTTTTGTTATATGAATAAATGGTTTTAGCTGCTTACAGATTATCCGAGTCCCATTTTTAATGTCCTCATCCAAATTCCACATTTCACCAACAAAACTAATCCATAAATTCACTTAAATACAAGAAAATCATCTCTGAAATCACAGGTTCATTCAACAAAATGTTTCTGAGAACCGGTTTTATTAACATATATTAGAATAAGCACTATATAGCACTATATAGCACTATATATATATATATATATATATAGCTTTAGTTCTTCTACATGTCACTGTGTCACACAGAGTTAAAGGTACAGTTTTTAACAATCAGAATATACAACGTAGGAAGCTGTTAGTTCTGCCGGGATGATTGTTTCATCAGTGGCAGTTAACTGCTCAGTTCAATAACATGCAGCTCAAAGCACAAAGTCACTCACTGTAGTAAAGGCACACGCTGTCACAGAGCGTTAGCGTGCAGAGTCAAGATCCGCTCCATCAGCCGGAGAGTGGGCTGGCTGATCGGGTAGTGCGGCGGCAGCTTCTCCTCGGCACACGACAGCTTCACAAAGTACCTGGAGGGCAGAAACATCAGATCATTAAAGTCTCAACACACCTCAACATAATCCCAACATTAACTCAGAGCAGCCGCACCGACCTGAACTCCTCTCTAAAGTGGGACCGGAGGTGCTGTGCCAGCTGGTTGTTGTACTGCAGGCAGGCCAGCAGGAGGCGACAGCGCTGGAAGAGCAGAACTGACTGAGCCGGACTCAGAAACGACTCCTGCAGGTCCGACAAAACCAGCACCACCTGCTGAGCCTGGTAATCGATGAAGGACGTCTGCGGAGAGACGAGGACACCAATGGTAAAGTAGAACACACAGTGCTTCCCTACAGGACAGTCTGTCCCAGTGGAGGCAGGTGGGTCCTCTCTACTGAGTTACAGTGAGGAAGGTTACCAGGTGAGGATGAGGCTGCAGGACTCGGAGGATCCATCCAACAGACAGGAAGTTGTCAGCAGAGGAACATCTGCTGGCCTAAAACACAGAAAGGTTTCAATACAGTTTTTCAGTCACAAAGTCCTGGAAGGTGCAGACTATGGAGTTGGGTAAAGAGAATTTGACTGGCACTAACTCTTCTCACCTCGTAGCCTAACAGCAGCAGCTCGAACAGCAGAGAGCCGGCAGCGTCCAGATACTCAGCTAGTAAGGCCTGAGGACAGAGAGCGACCACGGTAACATTAAAGATAAAGGATAATAATAATACGAACATTAATGTGAGTAGAGAGCAGCTCACCTCACAGTCAGTCAGAGAGCTCTGGTTCTGGGTTTGAAGCTCTGGATCACAGATCAAGGCCAGCAGCATTCTGGAGGCCAGGGCGCCTCTGCAGGGACAAAGAGCAGCAGAAATAAGATTCATCCATTCAAGTCTTACAGGATAAAGTGTTCAGACAGACGCAGGATGGGGGTTTACTTTTTGGCAGAGAGCAGGCTGAGTCTGGCCGGTTCCACCTCCGTCTCTCTGAACATGATGGCGAGTGTCTGCACGATCAGAGAGCTCAGTCTGAACACAAGGATTGAGCCGGTGTTAGTAACAACAGTAAACCATCAGAAACAAACTCTGGACCAACAGGGACCTCCACTAGGGGTTATCAACGCTTCACAAGGCCTTCTGGATTTTAAGACATTAATAAAACTTTAAAACTATACACAGTAGGCCTGTATCTCAGCATCTGGTTCACCTCTGGGAGGAAAAATGAATTGTGTAATATAACAATGGACAAGCATCAGGGACAAGAAAACACCCAATCTGTCTATTAAATCTGTTTGACTATTAAAAATTACTAAATAAATCTATAATACAGACAGAGAATTGTATTAAAAGTTCCCTAAACAGGAAATAATCTGCTCACAATTCATCCAAATCTCTGGTTTTAAACAAACTTCCAGCAGTTACTGAGTCACTGTTTGAATATAATATGAAATATCCATAAAATGTGTCACTGAGTCAGTTTATTTATGATAGAAAAGGTCCCTGAAGGAAGCAGGTTGGGAACCACTGACCTAAACTATTAACATTAGGCTTAAAATAGACCCAGAGATCGGTGGTTGTTCACTGTCTGAAAGGAACTTTTAAATCCTGATATAACATTAAAAGTAACTTCAAGGATCTTAAAGCCATTTTCCTACAAATCATTTTAAGAAATCATTTTCCAGGAGTTTTTCTTTTTTTGTGTGCAAGATTTCAAAAGCTTTATTTTCAGTTTTTGAACTTTAATATATATAAAACGTTTGTGAAAGTGAAGTTTCAAACAAAGGGGGTAGGACTATATCAGGACAGCACTGCAGGCTGCAGTCTGTAAAACTGGGTCCGAACAGACAGACGGACATTATGAAAACACTTATTCACTAACACCAAAAGCTTCCTTCTTAAACTGCTGAAAGTGTATAAGTATAAATGTATGTGTGTAAAAACAGCAAGCAGCTTACAGCCACACACAGCCACACACAGCCACACACAGCCACACACAGCCACACACACACACACACACACACACACACACACACACACACACACACACACACACACACAAGAGAAGCTTACAGGAGTTGATCTGCTGTGTGAACGCCACTGAGGCTCTGACAGCCGTGGAGAGATTCCTCCAGAGTCTGAACCAGGAAGACACACACCTCACTGGACTGAAACACACAACAGAGGAAGTCAGGTCGTCACCCAACTGCAGGCACATCAAACTTCACTCAAATCTACTCTGACTTCTTTTATGTGAGAGACCCCCTAGTGGCAGAAACATATTGTACTTTTAACCCAGCGAACACTTTTCTACCCAAACTAATTCCTATTTATGTAATCTGATTAAACTTATCAACCAATAGAAATGTACGTACTATAGCTTTAAGCTTAAAGGGTAAATTCAGGCATGTAGTTAGGGCAGTTGTCTCTTAAGGGGTGCAAGAAAACCTAAAAAATATACTCAGCAGGCCGATAAAAGTATATTTCAGTCGTTATTTGGGGGTTTAGATTATTAGTTAGGATCTGACCTGATCACAAGCTTATTATCATTAATCACAGAGTCTTTACGCTGGGATTGTAAATGTAAAAAATACACAACACAGACACAGAAATGTATAAAAAGTCCCACAAAATGTCAGGAAAATTCATCTCTGATCAATATTCACTGGAAATAATCAACTTCATCCAAATCTGTAGTTTCACACAAACTTCCTGCAGTTATTATGTTTGTGTTCATTGTACAGTTTATCAGTTGTTCTGCTATATACATATTATATATTATATATATATATATATAGTCAGTTTATTCAGTGGCAGGAAAGGTTGGGAACCACTGATGTGAAGGAGGTTACAGGATGTGTTTGAAGGCCTCACCTTCCAGAAGAGTCTGCGCAGTGCAACGTTACGGTGAGCCGCCGTCCTCAGCTCCTGAAGCAGCAGGTACAGACTCTCCACACTGAGCTCCTCCTGCAGGAGCTCAGAGCTCAGCTGACCGTACAGGTGAGCTGTCCGCTCCCAGCTCACACACACACACACACACACACACACACACACACACACACACACACACACACACACACACACACACACACACACACACACACACACACACACACACACACACACACACACACACACACACACACACACACAGCAGGTCATTAATAATGAGGCTGCCTCTGTTCGAGTCCTGTACTGCGTTACGACAGAGAGTCGTTGTTACCTGATGGCAGAAAGCTGATTTACAGGAGGAGAGTCAGACGAAGCTCTGCACTTTCCTCTGTAGAGCGGATCCAACAGCAGCGTGGACCTCTGAAAGTTAAATATAGGAGGTGGATATTACTTTTCAATAGGGATGAAGAAAGAAACTAAACATTTATGAGCTGTTTTTAAAGTCCAGGTGAAATTAGAAATGTCCTCACATCCTCAGTTATATTGTTCCAATATTTAACAATATATGATAAAACCACTTATAAAAAATTTACTTGTTTGTGTTTTTATATTAATATCCAATCATTCTGTCTTTCTGTAAAACAAAATGTGACACAAACACAACTTTATCAGTGATTTTGGTGAAACTGGATCATATTCTATGGAGAGAACGTCCTCCAGCTAACTGCTAATGTAGCTGCTGTTAGCAATCAACTGAACGGGTCAAACTGCATTCAGTCCCGGTCTGAAGTTCACTGGGAGCTGGACGTATTCTCTTTATCATCACTCACAATAATGAAACTGTTCCATGAGCTCTGTAGGTGGAGGTAAAGTCTGGACGTATGTGAAACGGCGTACAGGTGCAGCTCGGCCTCCCTCTCCTCCCCGCCGCTCTCGCAGTCTCTTCTCAACAGGCGAGACAGAACTGAACCGATCCTCCTCGGCAGCTGGAACATCAACACACAACCGGTTGTTATCTTCGTCTCAAAGTATGAATGTAAACAAGATAAACAGCCTCAGTGTCAGTCACACCCCGCCCGTCCGTACCTGGCCTGACTCTGAGATGTTCAGTCTTTGATCCGAGGGTGACAGGGGTGAGGTGGGGGAGCTGGTGGGTGAGTAGAGAGAGAGCGGGGTGGAGGGAGGCTGGCTGGGAGGTTGCAGGACTCCCGGGAGGCCCAGGGTCTCTGAATCTGGACAGGAGGCAGAACGTGTGGGGGCTGACATGTGAACCTCCTCCGTCCCCCTTTCACTGTGGGTCCTGGTGAGCAGCCAGAGGTGGAGGAGGAGAGAGATGGATGAGACTCAGATTATTAATACAGACACAAACAGCATATTATTAGTAATCAAAGGAACCAATAACTGATGTTTGGAACCGATATATCTGCACTAAAATTGATGTTTAAAGTACAACTTTGAGGTACTTTACTTAGACGCAGGTCTCCTTTACTAGCCTGGTGTCTCCATTAGAGGCCTGGTCTGGATTTTATAGAATTTCTTCGGATGTATAAAACCTCTTAAAACCCACCGGGTGCCCGCCTGAGGGAGTTCTATATCAAAAGCTAATAAATACCAGAATAAATATAAACAACTACTAACTTTATGTTACAAAATTAACTCCTGATTATTCATCCGTGGCTCCTGCAGTATGTAAAAATAATAACAGATATTTTTACCACACTTTGGTATTGGTACTCAGTATCGGCTGATACGCAAAGCTCAGGTGTCGGGAATGAAAGAATGAGACAACAGGGTTGGGTGATTGGATCTGTCGGCTTTTGTGGCTGATTTTTTGGTCGTTTTGTGTCATTTTATTTAGCAATTTTTATTGTTCTGCGTCTGAAGAACCGGAGCCGCTGACACACTGAGCCGAAGAACGAGTGAGAGGAAGAACGGCTGTACAGTGAGGTGAATTAGCGGTTTATTTCCACTGGTTTGACGACAGGGAATACAGTTTCAATGTGATCCACAGAAACTGCTGAGGCAGTGATTATGGAGGGGTCGGGAGGGGCTCATTGGAAAATGTAAACACATCGTCCGACCTTTAACGTTACATCGGAACGTCTATCGCCAATCTGATAAAAATAAGGACACTAATAACCAGGCTGATGTGATGTTGCTGACCTGCAGATCGCTCTCTTATTTGAACCTGATGATTCAAAGGTTGTGAACAGTTTTTCCCCAAAGATTAATCATTACTCTGTGTTGTGTGTGTGTGTGTGTGTGTGTGTTTAATGACGTCCCGGTGGGCGAACCACGCGTGAGCAGTGAGACAGACGAGCATGAGACAGTGTTTACATCGCACTCATCAGTTTTACAGCCGCGCCGCATTCACTTGTAACCGGGCAACAGTTCGCTGTTCAGTGACAGTAAATCTGTTCTTCCTCCGTCTCTTCAGTCAGAAACCACAGAGGAAGTAAAGCCGGAATATAATCCCACTGGACCCGACCGGATAACAAACAGGATGCAGAGAACGTGGATCCACAAACCACATTATTCACTCTACGGTTTAATGCTCGACATTAAAGGTACAAACAGTAGAGGAATCCTCTCCTCCACATTATAAAGACTAGTTATAACTAAATAAATGTTAAAAACACATAAACATGTTTCTGTTTTTGCACTTTTAAAGAACATTTCTGGAACAAATGAATACATTTTGGCTCTCAAACGTAACAATGTGGTTGCTGATGGTTCTGTAAATGTCCTCAGTGAACAGTGACCGTGAGCAGCAGGTAAACTGAGTCCTCTTTATAAATTAGTCCTGAGCTACCTGAGACACTGAGGAGGATCATTACAGCTACAGGCAGAGTGGGGCAGCTTTCACTGGACACATAATTCAGTTGTTTCTGAACCGAAAGTGGAAGATGATATTTAACTGTTAGTCAGTGAGGGCTGTGGTATGTACACACACATATATAGCTGCAGGTATGTAGCTCCTAAAGTTTAACCCTCCGCCTTCTTCCTCCCTCTCTCTCTCATAACCCTGCAGACAACAGCAGCTGTAAAGCTTTTATAGCGCACAAGTTTGTCTGTCTCTGTGACTCCCAGACACCATCTCTCCACTTAAATGCAAAATTACACACATAAAGTTACAGCACACAGCGGAAAGCCTGAAGTGAATTCCTTCTGCATGGAAAGAGACGACAAACACCCTCATTTAGAGTTTGATTCAAAGTGTAGATCAGGCTATGGAGGACTTGTTTGAGTTAAGGTTGGTAGAGGTAAAGTCAGATATTTTACTTTTTCTCCCCCACTATCAAACTCTAACCTGTAACATCATCCTCATCAAACAGTGTATAAGCTCTGGCTCTATGTTCTATATGTAGTTGAGTTCTTCCATTATCCCAAATGTTTCCAACAATGTTCAAACTCAGAGAAATCTGTCATTTTATTCAGGTAACGCTGCGTTTCACCGGTCGCCTGTCGATGGCGTCATATCCCCTTTGTGCCTGCGTCAGCGTTGTGGTTGTCTGCCAGAAGCTGTCATACATTGACTGTTGATCCAGTGTGAAGCCACATTGTTACCATCCACTGTTTAGATCTTGGTGCTTTTTAACTCTAGATTTGAACTGGATGAAGGATTTTAGTCATCGGACGTCTGGATCTTAAGTTATCAGAGAAACAAGCTGAGCTAACGTTAGCAGCAGCTCGGCTCTCAGCCCCTCCGGGACGTCCTTTGTCTGTCCAACAGCGTGGGAGAAGCAGTGATTGTTAAGGTGGAACTGCTTTATTCAGTGTGTTTAAGGTGGAACTGCTTTATTCAGTGTGTTTAGTGGTTTTAATCAGCGGGTCTGTTTGTGTTGGAGAGGAGGAGACCTCTGTGGATCATTGGGCTCCCGGTAGAAACCTCCTGAACCATGAACACTGAAGGAATCCTAACCGGGAGAAGCTGACTGCAATGACGCCAATGGTGGTGAAGACAACAACTCCCATGATCCCTCACTGCTTCACCACCTCATCACACTTCCTGTTTTGTCATTGTGTTGATGTGAGAGACCCCCTAGACTGTATGTACATCCTGAAATCCAACACTACTGTATTTAGTCTCAGTCGAGCTCTTGTACAGACTGCAGCTGTTTTTATGGACAAAAGCAAGATGGAGGTTTTCAAACTGCCTTTGACGCCTGCAGGAGGAGAGTATTTATATTCCTTTAAGACGGTTACAAAGTGAGAGCAACCAAAGCCAGACTCAGCTTCCATACATGGATATCACCTGACACCTTGTGTGTGTGTGTGTGTGTGTCTGTGTGTGTGTGTGTGTGTGAGAGAGGCTCACCTCTGTGCAGGATATCCTGTTGGGGAAATAAAGACACAGGATGGGTAAAGTTACAGTCAAGGGAAATAAATCAACAACAGTCCCACTGCAACTGCTTTCAGTGCTTCCTGAGGGAGATATGGGATTCACAGCACAGAAATATACATTTTGTTTATTTGTTTGTTTATATTTATGTCAAACATGTAAAAGAGAAGAAGACAAACTATATGTTCGAAAACATGTGTTTGCAAATTAAAGTCTATTCTGTGCTCACTGAGTGTATTTGTATGTTGTTACATTAACGAGCAATAATAACTCTTCTCACTCAACTTGTTACAGCGCGCCATAAAATCAACCAATCAGAGAACTGGAAAAGGTCAATTCTGATTGGCTGTTTTGGCCGCTGTGCCAGACTTTCTAGAGAAGGAGGAGTCAAACTAAAGGTGGTCACGTGACAGTCGATGTCTCAAGATACAACCAACTCAACCCTGCAGCTGTAATACACAAAACTATCCAGACATTTCTGCAATATAATAAAAAATACTGACTGAAAATGTGAAAACTTAAAAACGTAAAACACCTTTCTGGGACACATGTGACCACATATGTTTTGTAGAGTAAACACTAGTGCGTCCTGGCCCACGCTGAAGGACCGCCTACTCTAGCGCCGTCCTGTCAGTACACAGAACAGTTCGTCTGTTCAGATAATCTGATATAAATGATCTGTCTGAGCTCTCTAACCTGCCGAGATAAGCAGCAGATGTTCGTGAACACACACGATATCACCAGACTCCCTTAAGAAATCGCTGAGTGAAAACAAACTTTAGAAACTTTGTGAAACACTTTACACAATCAATTCTTCATTATTTGGACCTTTTTGTGAATTCCGCAAACGTTACATCAGTAAGCAGGTGAACACTCGTCTTTACCTTCTAAGGTGTGCGTTACTGTTGGGCAGAGGCTGGTTCTGCGAGAGGGCGGGGCTGCAGGAGGAAGTCCCGCCCTCTGGTCTCTACTCAGCCAATGACGGCCCTTCCTGGCAGGCTTTTCGGTGACGTAGGTGATCCGTATGTGCTGGCAGAGCTCCCGGTCCTTCCCACGGAGGAAATCTGGGAGGTCGTTGACCTGAAGATGAAGCAGAAAAAAAGATGTTTGAGATACAACAGACGTCAACCTGCACAGAGTGGGCAGGTGTAGGATGTGTTGTGTTAAAAGCAATTACTTAAATAATAGTTAAATAAATAAATAAGTCACCAAAAAAAAGAATAAATGATTAAATCAAAGGGCAAAACATAAATAATATATTTTGTATATTTTCTTATTTCTTTAGATACTGTATTATTCATTATATTTTCTGTATTTCCTATTTTAATTTTATTACATATATTCATCTATTTTCTTTTATATATTTCTACATTTACTTATTTAGATTTTTTATTATTTTTTTGTATTTCTTTATACATTTATTTCCTCTTTTAGTTATTTAGATATTTATTTTTACTTTCTGTATTTTTTCTGTATATATATATATATATATATATATATATATATATATATATATATTTATATATTAATCTATTTTGTCTCTTATTTATTTCTAAATTTTTTTTTTTTACTGTATTTTGTTCTCCTGTATCACCGTGAGAGAGGCTGTGATTGGCTGTTCAGTCGGTTGTGTTGGTTTTACATGTGTGTATTTTTTATTGGGCTTTTCTTTTTCATATATCACAGTTTTAACAGATTAATAAATAAATATAATAAACAGTCATTAGTTGGGGCTTTAAAGGGTCCAGTTTAAGAGGATCTATTGACAGAAATATAATTTAATATCCATATGTATGTTTTCATTAGTTTATAATCAGCTGAATATAAGAATCATCGTGTTTTCGTTACCTTATAATGAGACGTTTTTATCTACAGAGGGAGCCGGTCTTCTTCTGGCGGAGTCTGCCATGTTGACTTTAATGTCTTTATAAACACCTGCTGAATCCACTGAGGGCAAAACAGTTCAACACAGCCGATAATCTGATGGTTTAATGCAGATTAACTCTGTGAGGGAGAACTTAAACCTTTGACCTCAGACCTTTGTGACATAACAAGATGACAGCCCGTAATTAGAGACTTCTACTACAACACACCGCTTCTCTTTTAGATAATGCATCTTATGAAAGGTTTTATTAGGTAAGAATGAGACTGAATCTATTATAAACACCTGGTTATACATCTCTTCTGAGAGTTAATGAGAGAAACACATTATAGGTGTTTGAAACTGTCAGATATTTATAAAACAATATAATAATATGAGACATAATCTGCTTTATATTGTTCACACTGTCAAACACAGGTCATTTAAAGACATCGCCCTGAACCTGTGATGATATTTTTGGACCAAACAATGTACAGATGAATTAATATTGAAAATAATGATTAGTTGCATCCCTGAGCACACATACTGTATATTATGATCATTAATGGTTGCACTGCCAGCTAACTGTAAGGTAATCCTGCTGCGTGACACTTATATTTTATTAATGTAGCATCAGGACACATCGAGCCTAACCTACAGAAACAAAGAAGACCATCAGCGATAAGATCAGCTATTTCTATACAGTTCTTAATGTCTGCCACCGGGTCGGATTCCCCTTGAAATCAATGAAAGAAGGAAGTAGAAACACTACCGCTTTTGTCCACGGGGGGCGCTATGTTTGCTAAGTGAGAGGCTGGAACCAGAGAATAGTTGCTCAAATAATTCATCAATAATCAGCTGATGTTATGGGACACATCTTACGAGATCGTTTTTTATCCAAAGTTCCTGTGTTGAACTTTCTCAGCCGTCTCCATGACAACGGAGCAACTCTATCCGCTGAGGAAAACCAAGAGACGTGGCTGAAAGCTCTGGAAACATCGAGTAAGGGGACGGACTGAGGGTGAATTTTAAAAAACCACCTTGAGCCCTGGAAATTGACCTTTTTCACAGCAGCCATTATGACACGAGTTAGTCGGGTAAACACAAGCGTTACCAAGGATACTAGTTAAGGTTCCGTTCCATTTAGTGTCACAGAGAATCCTGACTGTCCGACCGGAATGGAACTGAACCTTAACTAGTATCCTTGGTAACGCCTGTGTTTACCCGACTAACTCGTGTCATAATGGCTGCTGTGAAAAAGTCTGTTGCAATGGACATTTGACGTTTTAGAGCCGATGATTAATAATCTGTTAATCGACAAAATAATTGGCAGATTAACCGAGAATAGAAATAATCTTAGCTGCAGCCCTACAGCCGATTATTTATCAGTGGACTGATTGATTGATTAGTTTCACTGGACGCTGCTGTTACTGTTACTGTTGTTGTTGTTGTCGTCCTCTTAAAAGAAGAATAACTGTGATATATGAGCTGATTTAGACACAGTGGAGTCCTCTGAATGTCTGAATGTCCATCCATGGATGTGTTGTTGTTGTTTTTAGTTTATTAAAATAGGAATGTGGTGGAAAAACCTCAGTTCAGACCTGGACTGGAAGAAAATATTAGATTTTAAATAAGGTCGAGAAAGTCTTATATATAATTCTAGTATAGTTTTTTATTGTTATAAAGATATAAAAAGGACATTTATGTAACAATATTTCTGCTTTTATCATAGTACAGTTATAGTATATTGTTTCTGATTTGACCCTTTTATATGAACATGTTTGGCTTTAATTCTCATTCTTCTACCAAAAGAAATCAGTATTATATCCTCAGTTTGATCCTACTGCTTATAAAAACATCATCCTGTGATTATACGGACAGATATTGTAGTGAGTGTGGGGATGATTCACTTTCACTGATAAAACTATTACAACTGAATGTTTTATGGTCTGTACTAAAGTAACTTTCTTGAATCTGATGAACAAGATTTATAATTCAGGACAGAACTACAGAACGTCAATATAATGCTGTTTATCACACATTTTAACTCCTGGTAATATTTTCTTTAATTGTGCAGCTCTAATCTTCATCCTAAAGCTAACTAACTTATTTATTTTAACTTTATTTACTAGTAAACATAGACAGTTCATATAATGTATGTATGTTTGTGGATGTGGGAATTAGAAGGCCCAAACTGATGATATATTATAATAATACTGAATAAAAAAAGTCAATCAATAAATGTTAAACAATATAAAAGGGTAAAATCAGAAACAATATACTGGGAAATAAAAATATTTAGTATATTGTCCTCCAGTCCAGGTCTGGATGGACACCACAGTTATTATATTTTAGAGGAGAAACAGATTCAACCAACAATAATGTTCAATCATAAACGCTCTTTTTTAAATAAATATAATCAATACATTACATCACTCCTATACTCTAAAAATAACAACTTAAATTTATTCAAATGTATTAATTGATTAGTAAACATTTTTGTTAACGAATATATGATTTCTGTATTTGTTTACCTGTTTGTTAATAAAAAATAAAATTTAAAAGATAAAGAAATTAGAGAAAAAAGACCTGCTGTTAATAAAAAAATATAAAAATAAAAATAAAATATATAAAATAAAATAAAATATATAAAAAAAATATAAAAACAAAATAAAATATATAAAAATAAAAATAAAAATAAAATAACGTACCAGCTCGATGTCGCGCACGCGCCTGAAGCAGCAGGCTGTAGTGAGCGTGCGCGGCGGGTACTCCGTCAGGTACACGCGCTCGTCGCTCAGCACCACGTGCATGTAGACCTTATTAACGGTCTCTGAAATCACCACGCACGGCTCGTAGGCTCGGATCCGCTCGTACACCGTCCGCTCCGTGTTCCGCTTCAGGAACGAGTCCAGTTTGATGTTTGGGCGGGAGAGGAGGGTACCGGAGCCGGTCCGGGCCATGACGTCGGTACCGGCGGTTGGTAAAGTCTTTAAGACGTTGACCTCCGCCCCGGCGCGAGGCAGCCGGTCCGCTGCGGGCTGTCCATCCGTTACTTTAAAACTTAACGTCGGTTAAAGAAAGTACCGAGAAGGTGCCGGTTGCTGCTCCGGTGCCGGTTGCTGCTCCGGTGCCGCTCTCGTTCACTCTGAACAGGTAAACCGCCGCTGGCTCGCTCCATCAGTGCACACGGCTCTCTGATTGGTCCGCGCAGTGAGGAGGAGCGCTCTGATTGGCTGGAAAGTAACGGTTAATTACATCATTTAAAGGCAGTTCTGAGATCAGAGGACGGTGAATCCGGATCATCTGGGACTCTAGTTGTTATTTTATTTATTTTTATTTATTGAAGAAACATTGTGGACAGTACAACACAAGCTGTGTCTAGATAAATGTTGTGTTCGTCCAGGTTTAACATATAACTTCTTCAAAAATGTCATTTTACGAACGTAAGATTTTGCTAAAATAATTAATTAAATTAATAATATATTGCTGGTTTCTGGAAAAAATAGAATTGGTGAAATTATGTTATTTACGTTAAATTTATTTTCCAAAATAAACTGAAAATCAGGCCAAAATATTGCCACATGCAGGGTTGGACAGGGTTACTTTTGGATTACCTCAACATCACATATGTAAATAAAAACAAGAGAAACTAAATATAAATAAGCATTAAGATAAGTGTAAAAAGTAAAACAGACAATGTAACCTTTGAAAAGAAGATGGAAACAAAACATTTTAAGATTTTTAGCATCAAAAATAGCACAAATGTCTGCAAGACATATTTTAAAATCGAATCCTAAATCATTTTTAGTAAATGTAACTGTAATCTGGTTACATCTTTCTGTTTACTGTATATCTTGGTATGATTTTATATAATAGATCTTGGACTTTGTAATAATAATAATAATAATAATACATTTTATTTATAAGCACTTTTCTAAATACTCAAAGACACTTTACATAAAAACAGCAAAACAAACATCAAATAGTAAAACACTAAAAACACATCAGACTAAGCTAAACATTAAAAGCAATTTTAAAAAGGTGACTTTTTGTCCGAGATTTGAATGTTGGAAGGTCGGTGCAGTCACGGATGTGTTTGGGGAGAGAGTTCCAGAGGGAGGAGGCAGCTACAGAGAAGGCTCTGTTGCCCCAGGTTCGGTGCTTGGTCCTGGGTGGTGGAGTCAGGAGGTTTGCATGGGATGAGCGGAGGCTTCGGGATGGGTTGTGGTGATGCAGCAGGTCAGTGAGGAAAGAAGGGGCCTGGTTATGGAGGGCTTTAGGATTTTGAACTGAATACGTTGAGGGACCAGGAGCCAGTGGAGGTTCTGGAGGACAGGGGTAATGTGGTCGCGGGTGTGGGTGAGCAGACGAGCAGCAGAGTTCTGGATGTACTGGAGTTTATTTAAGGTTTTGGATGGTGTGCTGTAGAGGATGCTGTTGCACTAATCGATTCTGGAGGTGATGAAGGTGTGGATGAGGGTTTCTGCAGCGGAGAAAGAAAGTGATGGGCGGAGTCGGGTGATGTTTTTGTGGTGAAAAAAGGCAGTTCTGGTGATTTGTAAGGCAACACGTATGTGTTTCACCAGTTCTCAAGACTGTATGGGACAATCAGGAGCTCTCTGGGAATTATTGGATGTCACAAGATTAATGTCAAAGATATACATCTGTTATAAATTAATGGTGCAATGACGGCAACAGTGGTAAAGACAACAACTACCATGATCCCATGCTGCTTCACAACGTCACCAAACTTTGTCTTATATTACTGTTATTATGTGAGAGACCCTAGTGGCAGAAATCAGACATTGAACATTTAAGTACAGCTTCTTCCCTCAGAGGAGATGTTTATTTCATCCTCAGCACTCCATTAGGTAAAATAGTATTTTTAGGGCCAGAGCAGAAGAAGAGCAACGCCATGTCAGGAATTTATCACCTGGACATCACGTGTCATCAAGTTGCATCAGGTTACCGAATGAGGTCACAGGAAGTGACCCGTCACAATAAAAGTCCAGTTAACCACACCAAATGAACTAGTTCATTTTTAAAGGTCTCCTTTGACCCTACAACATCAATCTTTTATATGTCGATGGTTACCCCCAACACTGATGACTATCTCTTCTCTATCCGCCGCAGAGTCACAGATGATCCAGCCGACCACACACTGAATCCAAAGGCAGGATACAGAGGTTTAGTGAAGGTGTTCTTGAAGGTGTGGAGGTGGATCAGTGAATCATCAGAGACTCTATAGAAGGACAGAGTCCCAGCAGGACAGTCTACAAACACTGCTACTCTGTTTGAGTAAAAGGGAGAGAAGACTACTGCTCTGCGGTCATCGTTCCAGTCATTGAAGTCACTTTTATCAGAGCAGAAAACACTCCAGGACTCATCGTTCATTCCCAGCAGACAGTCGTCACTCTTCCCTTTCCTCTTCAGGCCTCTGTATGCAGCTCCAATAAAAACCTCTCCCTTCCTTTCCACCTCCCAGTAACAGCGACCAGTCACACCTTGTTTGCCCAGCACCTGTTTGCAGTGGTCGAACCTATCTTGATGATCAGTATAAGACTGCTTCTCTATCTCCATTGTTGCCTTTCTGTTGCTGTCAGACAGTCGGACAAATCTGTTGGCTGTGTTCAAGTCCAGTGAGACCTCACAGGCATCTGAGCAAAAAAACAAACAACCAGTCAGATGATTGATCTGTTACTGATGGGAACACAACCTACATTTTACATCTTGAACCGGACAATGTGATACATGTCTTCTACTTCCAGGGGAGGACTGCCTGAAGAAGTGGCCTCAGCTAGCAATCTAAACTATCTTAGCTTTAGCTCAAATGTAACTTGTGCTGTTTGCGTCTCCAACAATCAAGCAAGAGTGTGTTCAGGGCTCAACAACAAGGACTGCACATTTGCCTGGAGCAAGTAAAATGTGTGCATCTGTCCCTTCTAAGTACATGGGCTACGATGTGATTCAAGGATGATGCATTACACACCAATAATAACAAATCCAATATGGAAAAAATCTGAGTCCGTCTACAAAAACTGGCTAGTTGGCCACCTGTAACACTTTAAATTGATTATCATTATTGGTTATAAATTATCCGATCAAGCATATCTAAAGCTTTGCTTTCATCAGAAAACTACATCTACTTACACTTCCTCAGACCTGGTTTCAGCCAGCAAACTCCATGTGGCTCCAAACTGCGTATGAAGAGTAAACAGAGTGAGAACAGCACAAACCCTCAAGACTACAATTCATACGAAACTTAAAAGGTCCAGTGTGTAACATTAATGGAATTTAATATTCATAGGTATGTTGTTTAATCATCTGAAAATAGGAATTGTTGTGTTTTCGTTACCTTAGAATGAGACGTTTTCATCTAAAGTCTACCATGTTGAACCATCATGTTTCTACAGTAGCCCAGAACAGAAAAAAACAAACACTGGCTCTAGATAGAGACGTTTGTCACGAGGTTCACAGCCATCTTTGGAATTAGGAGAGCCTCAAGGAACTCTGGGGATACTCAAGCAACCTTACCTGCTTGGTACTTCCTGGACCTGGAACCTTTAATAATTTAGTTTAGAGGAGAGGTTACTGGAGGAACCTTTGTGGACCAAAAGGTTAGGGTTATTGTTCCTCCATAGTGGCAATGGTGAGGACCCCCAAAAGGTTCCGTAAGGCTCTTGTACTCATACACTCTTGGAAGGCTGAGCCGTATTCAGTTGGTTAAAATTCACCACTAGATGCTGCTAAATCCTACATACTGGACCTTTCAATACTGACAAACAATGTAGAGCCATATCAGTGGATTTTAAACATATAAAGTTTGCCCTGAGGTCTAAGACAACAGGACTGTCTTTACCTCAGAGTTTCCAGTCTCCCAGAATCCTTCAGTCCAGACAGTTTCACTCCTGAGTCTCCAGGATAGTTGTAGCTAAGCTCCAGCTCTTTCAGATGGGGGGGGGTTGGAGTTCAGAGCTGAGGCCAGTGCAGCACAGCCTTCCTGCGTAATCAAACAGCCAGATAATCTACAAACACACACAATCTGGAGTTCAGTGGTCTTTCCCCTTCTCCCACTGATCTTCACCATCTACATTCTTCCTGTGTTTTTTCATGTAAATATAGTCTAGGTCTTCATTTTCAGAAGCATTTATACAGCTATAGAACTGGATTACAGGGTACAAACATTCAACAGGGGAAAACAGTGCCACACTGAGCTTCACAACGGCTCTTGAGAAACGTATGGGTGATGTCACTGACACTACGGACAGTTTTATTACACAGTCTATGAGTGGCATTATGCTGGATGTGGCTGTGCAATATAAACAAGCTAAATTAGAAATGTTAACAGTTGAACGTTAGCAGGAATACAAACCGGAGTGTTTTCAGTGCACAGTTTAGACTCTTCAGTGCAGCAGTCAGCCACTTCACTCCTTCATCACTCAGGTCATTGTTACTCAGGTCCAGCTCTCTCAGACAAGAGGACTTAGAGCTGAGGACTGAGCACAGAGCTTCACAGCTTCTCCATGACAGGTTACACACTCTCAGCCTTGAAAATATGGGGAAATATTATTGCCTTATAGAAAATTATAGGTCATAGACAGATGTTTGAAATTACAGAATCAGGAAGGTGAAACAAACCCTGAAGTCACAGCCGAGACCGTGATAGTTGTTAGGAACACCAACCTGAGTATCTCCAGTCTACAGTGTGGACTCTCCAGTCCGGAACACAGCAGCTTCATTTCTTCATCCTGCAGGTTGTTGTTACTCAGGTCCAGCTCTCTCAGAGAGGACTTAGAGTTAAGAACTGAGAACAGAGCTTCACATCCTTTCTTTGATAACTTACAGCCGCTCAACCTGAAACAGTATTTGTGAAAATAATTTCAATAATATTTAAATATTGTATGCAATACACTGTATAGATAAAAGAGAAATTAAATTAAAGCCCTAATCTGCACTTGGTAAGCAGTGGTCCTTCCACCCACTGATCTTTATCATCTGCATTCTTGTTACGGCCAATATTCTACAGTCCACTAAGAAGTTGCAATCACAACAATTAATTCATATTCAACCATTCCCAATGGACTTTGTGCAACCTTGAAATTTTGTCCAATCACCGCAACTTTTCTGCAAATTTGACCAATGATTATCATTTTACCAATCATAGCTGTCCCCCGAGCAAAACGTTGACCCATTCAACAAACTAGACATTTTATTCTTTGATTTTTAATCAATTATACACAAAGAGTTTTACCTTCTCCTGCAATTTTATTGCAAAAAATTAATAAATGCAATGATGTGGACCTGTTTGAAAGTTCAGGGACAACCATCTGACAACCTGGAGCACTGTGCACCAAATATAGATTGGGTCTTTATTTGATCTACTCCACCTACAGAACTCTTTTGGAGGCTTTGACGACCGGCAGGAGCCTCAGAAGAGCCTCCTCTGAATCAGAGTATTTCTTCAGGTCAAACACATCCAGATCTTTTTCTGATGACAGTAAGATGAAGACCAGAGCTGACCACTGAGCAGGAGACAGTTTATTTTCAAAGAGACTTCCTGATTTCAGGGACTCTTGGATCTCTTCCTCTAGAGAACAATCATTCAGTTCATTCAGACAGTGGAACAGATTGATTCTTCTCTCTGCAGAGGGAGTCTTTTTGATCTTCTTCTTAATGTAATCAACCATTACCTGATCGGTGTTTGAGCCATTTCCTTTGTATGTCAGCAGGCCTTGTAAGTGATTTTGATTGATTTGTAGTGAAAGACCCAGGAGGAAGCGGAGGAACAAGTCCAGGTGTCCATTTCGACTCTTTAAGGCCATGTCCACAGCACTCTGGTACAGGTTTTTCTTATTTTGGAATAATTTAAACCACGAAACAGACGACTGGTGCTGCGACAGCAGATTGACTGCTGAGTTTATGAATGTCAGATGGACATGAAGAGCAGCCAGAAACTCCTGAACACTCAGATGGACGAAGCAGAAGACCCTGTCCTGGTACAGTCCTCTCTCCTCTTTAAAGATCTGTGTGAACACTCCTGAGTACACTGAGGCTGCTCTGATATCGATGCCACACTCTGTCAGGTCTGATTCATAGAATATCAGGTTGCCTTTCTGCAGCTGCTCAAAAGCCAGTTTTCCCAGAGACTCAATCATGTTCCTGCTCTCTGGATTCCAGTGTGTATCTCCGCCATCATTCCTGATGTTCTTCAGTTTGGTCTGAACCACCAGGAAGTGGATGTACATCTCAGTCAGGGTCTTGGGCAGCTCTCCTCCCTCTCTGGTCTTCAACACATCCTCCAGAACTGTAGCAGTGATCCAGCAGAAGACTGGGATGTGACACATGATGTGGAGGCTTCGTGATGTCTTGATGTGGGAGATGATTCTGCTGGCCTGCTCCTCATCTCTGAACCTCTTCCTGAAGTACTCCTCTTTCTGTGAGTCAGTGAACCCTCTGACCTCTGTCACCATGTCAACATACCCAGGAGGGATCTGATTGGCTGCTGCTGGTCGTGTGGTTATCCAGAGGTGAGCAGAGGGAAGCAGGTTCCCCCTGATGAGGTTTGTCAGCAGCACATCCACTGAGGTGGACTCTGTAACATCAGTCAGGATCTCAGTGTTGTGGAAGTCCATAGGAAGGCGACACTCATCCAGACCGTCAAGGATGAACACAACCTGGAACTCTTCAAACCTGCAGATTCCTGCTTCTTTGGTTTCAGTAAAGAAGTGATGAACAAGTTCTACCAAGCTGAACTTTTTCTCTTTCAGCACATTCAGCTCTCTGAAAGTGAATGGAAATGTGAACTGTATGTCCTGGTTGGCTTTGTCTTCAGCCCAGTCCAGAGTGAACTTCTGTGTTAAGACTGTTTTCCCAATGCCAGCCACTCCCTTTGTCATCGCTGTTTTAATTGGTTTATCTCTTCCAGGTGAGGGTTTAAAGATGTCTTCTTGTCTGATTGTTGTTTCTGGTTTGTCTGGTTTCCTGGATGCTGTTTCAATCTGTCTTATCTCATGTTCATCATTGACCTCTGCCGTCCCTCCCTCTGTGATGTAGAGCTCTGTGTAGATCTGGTTCAGAAGGGTTGGGTTTCCTGCTTTGGCAATGCCCTCAAACACACACTGGAACTTCTCCTTCAGGTCAGACTTCAGTTTGCGTTGGCATACTGCAGTACGAGTTTCTGAATGGAAAATGACAACAGTGAGTGGATGTAGCAGTAAACATGAGAAAGTGAACTTCTTTTGGCTAAATGTTTACTGATACTCTCAAGTACTTGAATGGTCTAAGTCAAGACAATTTGCTTCCCCAATTGGTTTTGAGCTTAATAAGATAAGAGACAAAAGGAGGGTCCATTCGGGTCCAATTTCTTTGGGTTGTTTGTGGTTCTGGTTGAACTACTGTCAACCTTTAAATGGATGGATCCATTGCATAAAGCCAAACTGGAATCAACAGCCTTCTACCGGCTCCATTCTGGTTCACCCACCCAGTTTTGAACCTTTCGGATTAAATTAAATTCAGTTTTATTTGTGTAGCGCCAATTCATCAGCAAAGAAAAACTTCCTTTTAAGAGGCAGAAACCTCGGACAGACCCAAACTTGTTATTATTAGTAATATTAGCGGGAGTCAAGCAGGACCATGGCAGCAGGCACCTCCAGGATCCATGGGAACCTGCGAGACGAGAAAGCACAAGAACTCTAATGTGTTCAGAAAGATAGGGAGAGGAAGAGAGGAGCTCAGTGCATCATGTGAAATCCCGTGGCAGTCTATGGCTGCGTTTCATCAGTCGTTCCACTTCTCCTCGTTCACTTACCCTCAGCCCTTGGTATGACGTAACAGCATACGTTGCACGGAGGCCACTTGGAGCGCGGAGGGAAAGTGGGCGGGGAAGGAGTGGGGGAGGAGCGGGGGATTTAAATGAAACGCACTTGCCCTTACTCGGCGTTATAGCGGCAATGACGTAAACTGCAATGCATTGTGGGTGATATCCACCTCGGAGTGACCATCATTGTTCACTCGCTCCCTCAGCCCTCCGAGGGTCCATCTCACCAAGTTAACTTCAGTTTTCCAGACAATTGGAACGACACTTATGATGGCAGCGGGGATTCCCCCGAGGGCAAGTGAACGAGCGCATGTTGAACGACTAATGAAACGCAGCCTCGGTCTATAGCAGCATAACTAAGGGATGGTTCAGGATTCACCTGAGCCAACCCTTACTATAAGCTTTATCAAAGAGGAACGTCTTAAGCCTACTCTTAAATCTGGAGAGGGTGTCTGTTGATGTTGCACCCTGATTACAATGGTTCCACTCAAAACTGGCAGGGAGAAACACAGGCTGGTTTGTTAGATAGCACCAAGAATGTTGGTGTAAAAACTCTGGAGGTGTATCAGATGAGAATGGAATGGCTGATAAGGAAGCTGTGTCAGAGCCTTAAGTTATCAGAAAATAATGTTCCCTTCTCACCAATCACAGTCTCAATTATCATTGTAAGGTGTTTTTAGGTGAGATGGGATATGTAATCCAGTTCCTGGGTCTGCCTCTGGGCCTCCTCCACAGAGAAGAAAGGCATCCTGTTCAGATCCTGGCTCAGCCAGAACAACTTGGAGCTCTACGCTCTAAGGAATGGTAAATGGTAAATGGACCTGGACTTGTAAAGTGCCTTTCTAGTTTTCCGACCACTCAAAGCGCTTTCACACTACATGCCTAGTAGTGATGTAGAGAGTAGTGATGTTTTTTTTCAGGACTTCAGAAAGAACCCAACTCTCCCTTTTCTTCCTGAGCACCACCATCACCGAAGACCTCAAGTTCAACCTGCTGAAGACAATAATGGTGCAGTTCTACACTGCCATTAATGAGTCCATCCTCCATACTATGGTCTGTGCCTCCATGATGCCTCTATGTGAAGGCATCTCAGACATGTTCAACTGGGAGGAGACCCTGATGTAGACCCAGAGCAAGGAACTATCCCCCAGGAAGAGCTGGAGGAAGTGTAATAGTATGGGTTACTTTGCTTAACCTTCTGCCACAGCGACCCAAACCCTGATAAGTAGTGGGAAATGGACAGCTGGAGCAGTTAAGCAACAAACAAAAAAAGGTCTATCCAACAAATGGAGTGTCATTAATAATGTGAATGTCAATGAACAAGTCTGTTTTACTGCTCTGCAGACAGTCAGCCAGCTCGTCCTGCTTCAGTCTCCTCAGGAAGTCCACTGTGATTTTCAGAAATGCCTCTCTGCTCCTCCTCCTCTGCTCTTCCTCCTCATCTACCACTTCCTCGTCCTCCCTCTGATTCCCAAGGCATTCTGGTTGTTCTGGACTCAGAAGTCTCAGGAACCTCTTTAATTCAGTCCTCACAAATGTGATGATGTTCTTCTCAAGAAGCTGGGACAAAATACACTGTACTGTACAATACTGAATGTTTAATCAATACTGCAGAATAAATGATCAGACGGTGTCTATATTCCTGACAATAAAACTCACTGAAGCTCAAATCATACTGTCCAAGTGCTGCTGTGTAGTTTCTCACCATAAATATGGAGCCAATGTCTGTTTGATGCTCCTGGACAGACTGAGGCTTGAAATACTCCTGGTTGTCTCTGAGGAAATCATCAAAGATTACATTACTAGTTTGATATATAATTATTTAATGCAATATTTAATTTCAAAATGAAAGCTCTCTAGTTTATTGAAACAAAAATATAATGTTTAGAGTTCATGTTACTCATATAATTAAAATACCAAATAACTTACATTTCTTGTTTTGTTTTAAAATTCATTGGGTAATCCATGGAGCGGTCCGTCTTCATGGACAGACAGCTGGGTAGGGATTCTGATCTTTGCCTCATTGGCCTACAGAGACAGAGTTTTACTGTGAATACTGTTCAGAAATCAGAAGTAGGTTCAGATACAGTGAATTTGCCTCTGACATGAACAACAGTGATGGCTAAAGACTGTTTCCTTGTATCTTCATTCTGGACTTTGGAATTATAAGATCTGAGTGTCAGTCTGTCAAAACGAAGTAGATTACTGAGTGATGTGTAATGTCAGTTCAAAGGTGGACCCAAATGCAGACAGGAAACACAGGAGGGTTAAATGAAACAAAATGAAAGTCAAACAAAGAATAATCCCAACAAAAGTAGTCCAACAAAACATTAAGAACAATCCAGAAAACCACATTCACAGAGACAAACACAGAGTCAAACAACAAGTAAAGTCAACCAACACAGACAAGGAAGGACCCTTTCAACATAAAATAGGAAATAACTAACTTTAGTTTATTGTGCCTTCTGAATAATCTGTTGAGGTTCTATTGAGGAAGTGGCTAAAGGTTAATGTTCATTAAACAAACAACTTACCTTCCATTAGGAAACTCTTGTTTTGTTTTAAAATTCATTGGGTGATCCATGGAGCGGTCTGTCTTCATGGACAGACAGCTGGGCACGAGAGAGTCTGCTCTCTGCTGGATTGACCTACAGAAACAGTGTCGTACTTTGAGTAATGTAGCAAATAAATTACGTAAACAACCACGACGAAATCCTCATGATTTTACCTCTTATGTTGAGCGTCATGTCGTCCCATCAGAGTGAGTTTAGTGACCTCCGACTGAGACATCATAGAAGAAACTCCTTCAACATGAGTTAGCTCAATCAGTTAAAGGTTTTCATTATAATATAATTTCATGATAGAGATGAAAGTTTTTCTGGTAAAGAAGTGAATTTATTGAACAGTAGCAGTACATCAGTCCTTCCAAGAAGTTGCAACCACCGCACTTACAGCACTTTGTCCAATCGCTCCAATTTTTCCACAGATTTCCTGAAAGAGGAGGTGAGAAGCTAGAGAGCGAGAAGAAAGAAAATGCATCTTATATTTCAGTCTTTCATTCCTTTACCACTGTTGGGAGGGTTACTTAAACTATTACTGCATATAAAAGGAATCAGTTATACAGTAACTGTTGTGGTACTTTTAAATGCCTGTAGGCTACACCATTATTATTAGTCATGAGGGGGTTAATATGAACCACAGAAATGAGATGACAATCTCTGGTTCTCCCCTCATCCCTGAAAACTGACACCAACCCTGCCCCCAGTGTTCCTCGACCCGTCACCCGCTCTCAGAAGCTCTCCCTTTACAGTCTTTACAGGTTTATGTTGGTCTAGAGGAATGAAGTTCTGGATTCTCATGAAAAAATAAAATATCTTCTGTTGTCCTGAACAATCAGAAGTGGTCTGAAGGGACAGAAGCTCAACAGTTAGTTGTTGTAACAGATCGTTACAAGGTCACTGGAGTTCTTTGTGACTGAACTGCAGTAACCTGTAACTATTTATATGTCCAGAAATAAAAGCTGCGGGCAGCGCTCAGTGTCCATGGACCGATGTAGAGAGAACGCACAAACTTTCCTGTGGCACATCAGTAAGGCATTGAATAAAAATATCTAAAGTTGGCATTAGAAATCAATAAATTGTTTTATTTACAAACTTGTGTGGCCAATGTGGCCAAAACTGTTTTTAAATGGGCAGCTGGGTGGCCACCGCTCTAGATGCGCCCCTGTGACTGATCTGTAAAGTTCAGAGATTCTATTATTGTGTATAAATGTTGCTGAGTGTGCAGAAAATAAACTGTATAAAGCAGCTTACCGGTTCAGACCGTTCCTGAGGATTGACTGAGTCCAAATGCTGTGACTGAAATAAACAGCTGGTGTGGTGATTAGTAACAGGAATAAAGAAAAGAAAGAGGTGTTTTGTTGTTTGTTTCTCTTTCTGTTTCTGTCCTGTGGCATCAGTCTCAATTTTTTATCATTTTTATATACAATATATAATATTTCCATCTATTTAAAAAATACAGATCTGTGAAATAAATGAGAAAAACCCTGTAAACTTACAGATTTGGTTTACAGTGTAACAGAGTTAAATGCACTTAATTCATTATTATTTTCTATTTGTATTTGTGAATTTGATCTTATTGAGTTATTTTTATTCCTGTTTCCTGTGGAAATGACCTCTTCTGTACCTCCTGGGTTTCCATAGTTCCTCCTGTGTTTTATTCTCTTCCACCAGAGCAAATAAATGCTGGAAAGTCCCTTCTTATTCCCCATATCCATATACATAAAAATCACAAACATTAAACTGTATTCAACATCCTTTTAATTGTTTTTACTGTAAAAATGAAACCAAAGTGACTTCCTGTTTGGTGAAACTGGCTCTGGAGCAGTTTGACCTCCAGCAGGTGTTTCTCATCAGACTGGTGTGAGTGTGGCAGGTGAGTTATCAAAGAGCAGAGCGTGAGTGAACAAGAGGAAAGAGTCACAATGCTGCCGGCGCTCTGTCTGCTGTTCACACTGTACACAGGTCAGAAACCAGATCCATTCTCAATACTCGCCTTTATTATTCCTGAATTTAACTGTTTGTGTCTGCAGCTGAACTTGGATCAGTTCACAACAACAACAACAACAACAACAACAACAACAACAACAACAACGACACAGGTACTGTCGACATTATTTCACACAAACTAACTGCTGTTCTCAGGTCAGTAAACTGCTGTCTGAAAAGTTTATTTTCAATGTGATTATTTAACTTTAATAAATGCATCTAATATTAATTTATTTAAATTTAAAATAACTCGGATCAGATTTAATTTAACAGAATTTCCAAAAGATTTTAGATCCTAAACTAAATGAAATGTACTTAAATCATTTACATTTTTAGTGAATCAGATTCATAAATGAGGATGAAGAATAAGACTGTTTTTTTCTCTTCAGATTTAAAGTTGAATCAGATCCAGAATCAGATCCAGAATCAGCTGAATGTGACTTTAAATGAAACCCTGCAGGAACATGGAAATTTCTCTGGACATTTTGGATTCAGCGGTGAGCAGTTTGTCTTTACTTTAAAAAGTTATGATTTTTTTGTTTTGTTTTTGTAGGTCCTCCACCGTTTAACATATTTTTTTTTGGTGTAAACCGAATTATCAGACCAACATTGATCAAACACATCAATGCTGCTGTTAATATTCACATAAGGGTTAGGTATTTAGAAACCTCTGTATTTGATGTGTTTAAAAATGTTTAGTTTGGGAATTTTTATAAATTTTAGGAAAAAAAAGTGTTTTTTTTGTTTTTTTAAAATACTCTTTCAAAAGAGGTGGTTTTGGGTTTTTTTTTTTTTTTGTTTTGTAGAAAATTTTTTTTTTTTTTTTTTTTTTTTTAAAATGTGTCTGTAGACCTGGCGGGGGTTCGGTCCTTCCTTCCAGAACAGGAGATGGAGACCAGGATTATTGGGGGTCAGGAGGCCTGGGCTAACTCGTGGCCCTGGCAGGTTTCTCTTCGATTCACCTCCATGCCGGCCTGCGGAGGAGCCGTCATCAGTCCGCTGTGGGTCATCTCTGCCGCACACTGCTTCAAAAGGTCAAAGGTCATAAACATGTGCTAAAGTAGAACAGGATTAAATCTGAGACGGGTTCAAACTAATGGTTCAACCTGTCTGCAGGTACAATAAAGCTTCTTTCTGGACAGTTCTAGCGGGAAAACACGACCTGGACAATCCTGAAGAACCTGGACAACAAGTTAGAAACGCACAAAGATCAAACATTTACATTCTAGATCTGATCCGTTCAGTGTCTAATCAGGGCAATGTTACCTGAAGAAAATACTTGTGGTAGAATACAGGAAATTGTTCTGTCCAGGTGGTCGGAGTCTCCGCGATCGTCAGCAATCCCGGCTACAACACTCGAACTAAAGAGAGCGACATGGCTCTGCTGAAGCTGCAGCAGCCGCTGGTCTTTGACCAGTTTGTCAGACCCATCGACATCTGGATGACTTCACTGCCCAACTTCTGGAAGTGCACGATCACCGGCTGGGGCTCCACCCGAGAGAGTGAGGAACTGTTTACTGTTTATCCAGATATATGGGCTACGATACAATTCAGAGATGATTAAAATAGAGGTGTAAAGATTTAGACACGAGTCGGAAATCAGTTTTTTTAACGGTACACGGACCCCTGGATGGATCTCAATGTACCATGAACCGGAACCGAATTAAGTTAATGCTCATGCTAACAGTGTCTCCACTCTTGTAAACACAAGGGTCTTGCTACAAGACAAGAGTAATGTCGACAGGATTTGTGCACCATCAAATCTAAAGTTTTGACATTTGGACAAACGGTCGCACGACAAATCTTTACACTCACTCAGTGTTAAGAACTGTATCAGTTGCATTGGAAAAATTAAAAACACACCGTCCCTGAATTGTCATGTCTCACCAGGTGAGTCACATCTATAATGTTTTTGACTCGTATCGGTAACTCTTTACACCCCGAGTTTACAGACTGTAGAATCTCAAAGAGCTTGTTGCAGCCGAACATGAGCTGAAATGACTTTGATCTATGGTGTTTGTTTCCTCAGACGGTCCTCGAGTTCACAGACTCCAGGAGGTGAATGTGACAATCCTGCCCCCTGATGTCTGTAACCAGTTCTACCTCGGGAGGATTCGGCCCTCCATGTTCTGTGCTGGAAAGGACAGCGGAGGAGTCGATGCCTGCCAGGTAGGACCTGAATGCCTCCAGACACAATCTAGAAACACTTGGTCTCTTTGCTGCTTTGTCTTGTCTCTTTATTGTTCCGTCTTTCCATCCACTGTTTGTTGTCCTGTCTCGTCTCATCTTTGTCTTCCTGTTTAGTCTTACTGTTGTGCTGTCTTTTCTCTGTGTTTGCCTCTGATATCTCTTCTTTGTACCGTCTGATGTCTCCACTGTTGTTGTGTTCACTGTCCGGGTCTTTAATCATTGTCCTGTCTGTGTCTCAGGGGGACTCTGGAGGTCCTCTGTCTTGCTTCACTGGTAGCAGGTACGAGCTGGCAGGTTTGGTGAGTTGGGGAGTCGGTTGTGGACGAGCCAAAAGACCGGGAGTCTACACCAAAGTCCAACAACACACCCAGTGGATCTCTAACACCATCTGTGAGTTTCACAGGTAATTAACACCTGTTGGAGAGTTTACCTTTTTAAAAGACTAAGAAGAAGCACTTGTGTCGTCTCATTCACAGATGATCAGAATATCCTGTATGCAGATGACGTCAGTACTAATGGTAGGGTTTTTAAACTAAATGAATGAATTATAAAATTTTATTTCTGTGTGTTGTACTGACACTGCCTTATACAGCTCAGTAGAGAAACAACACTGTACAGGTTTTCATGTTTTTCTATTTATCTGGACGACAGAGGACAGGTGTAGTAAGCAGCGGAGCTCCAGCTGTGAGAAAGCTCCAGGTCTTGCTGGTCTCTCAGTGTCTCAGGATGGTGAGGTGTCTGTGGGGAATGTGACCGAGTCCTGTCCCTTCTTCTGGCCCTGGCAGGTCAGCCTGCAGTCCAATGGACGCCATTATTGCAGTGGCGTGCTGATCCATCGCCGCTGGGTCCTCACTGCAAAACACTGCAACGTCAGGTTGGTACGACTGAAACTGCTGCTGCTGTGAAATTCATGAAACCTACTCCCAGGTCTGCACAAAACATAATCATACTACTATAAATACTGTATTGTTAAGCAAAATATCACAGCACCACTACTGTGTTGTGAGGTAGAATATTGCAGTACTGCTCCACTCGATCGTCAGGTAATACACCAACTGTTGTGAACTTTGTGTCCCTGCAGAGCTAAAAAGGACATGGTGGTTCTGGGAGTTCATGATCTCCGTTTCTCATCATCTCAAATGGTCCCAGTGGACAAGGTCTTCAACCTGCCGCAGGACGGCAGCTTCCCCCCGAAATCTGACCTGTCGCTGCTCCACCTCAGCGTGCCTGCCAGATTCAGTACGAACACATAAAAACACAAACTCTCTGTAGAATCACATAGTGTGTGTGTGAGGCTCTAAGCTATTTTTGAAACTGGCCATGTCTCCAGGCTCTAATGTGTCTCCAGTTTGTGTCCCCGATGAGGACGAAGAGCTTGATGACAGCTGGTCTTGTGTCACAACTGGCTGGGGAACCACGAAAGCAACAGGTAGTCTCCACATGTCCACATACGGAGCAGGAAACAACCAAAGCTGTGAGTGTTATCATCAAACTCTTGTTTGTGCAGTGGATGTCGATCCAGACCGGCTCCACCACGTTGGACTGACTCTGGTCAATCAGACAACCTGCAGGAACAAGTGGGGACGAGGTCTCATCAGTGACTCCCACATCTGCTCACATCCTGCCGGCTCCACCTCTTGCTTGGTAACTCCACCCTGAACCCCGCCATCCATTACTGGATGATGTGTTCAGAGAAAATGTCTTTAGTTTTAGTCAATTTGGTCAAATGAGTTCACACAACAAGTATTAGTAGGCTGTCCTGGAATTCTTTAGTACCACCTAGTGTTGATTGCAAATAGCTCCACTGAACAGGAAGTGAGCTAATAGTAACCAGGAAGTAGAGTTCAGGAAGTCCTCTTTTGACTCATAGTGAGGATCAAAATGCAACAATCCTTGCACAAAGTAAAACTCTGACTAAAAGTCTGATTCCCAACTGACGTATAGGGAGTACTATCCAAAGTACTAACTAGCGGGTAGAGTCGAGCCATAGTCTGTAGTGGAAATTATTACATCATGATCGCTCTGCGAAATAAACATCAATAAAAGTTGTCTAACCGTAACTGCAGGCGGTTGGAGGTCCGATGTCTTTAAAAAACAACACTTTTAACCTGTTAGACCCGAAGGACCCGGTACAGTGTCCGGCGAGCGCCACAATGCTTTACTGCCTGTAAAAAGTTAATAAGACGCTGTGGTGGTTTTTTTTTGTTTTTTTTTACATTTTTCCAAAATACGAGGCTTCAACTCTACCAAAACAACAGTCCAAGTGAATTTTTCTCAAACAGTTTGTTTGGCAATAATTTAAACAATTAACTAAAAAAATAACAGCTCTGTGAATATAAGGGACAGTCGAAATGAAACGGAGCAGTACACATATATCCGCTCGCTCGACTCAGTCATGTTAGGTGTCAGATTAAACGAGAAGCTCATCTTTCTGCTGATACCAAGCAAAACATAATCACAACCACAGAGCCCCTAGAAAGAGAAAAAATTTGCATTTTATCGTCAAAATGTGAAATTCTGTGTTTGTCTCAATATTCTATCAAATAACAAAGCAAATATTGTCCCCTTACCCTTTCTTAATCATTCTGAGTCTATCTGGCTAGGGCTAAACAGGTTAAGATGCTGTTCTGTCTCTGCAGGGCGACGCTGGAGCTCCACTGTTGTGTCGGATGCGTGGGGCCTACCTCCTGGTTGGCGTGGTCACATGGGGCAGCAGGTGGTGCGATGCAGACAAACCGGCCATCTTCTCCAGAGTGTCAGATTATCACCCTTGGATCAGTGAGGTGACTGAAGACATCTGAATGTTTGTGGTAAAAAATAAACTAATTTAACTGGTTTCTTCTCTGAGCAGTTTTAACTCTCATGGTTCACTTATTTTTTTCTGGTGCTTTCAACCACATCTTAATCAGAGAATTGAGTTGATTTTTAGATGTTGTCAGCATGGAACGAAGCTCTGGAGAAGGTAAGTGAACCACCTTTTAATGGTGTTTTTCACACAAAGGATTGTTTTAATTTTAAAAAGTTCAGGTCAGACAACCTTTTAGACACTGTCCAAACCAAACAGTCGGTATAATCCAGCTTGCAGATGATTCAAAACCAAAAATGGCCAAATTCAATGTCAGCAAACACAACCATATTTGGCTCTTGTAGAATCGTCTATTTAGACCAAATTTTTTTGTTGTTGTTTTTTTTGTTGTTTTTTTAAGAGTCTGAGAAAGTCAAGTAAGGAAACAGCTGGAACTTTTTGGTACTTTTAAGGGGTGTTAATCTGTCCCTTCTAAGATGTTATTGGGCTATGATACGATTAAGGGACAATCAATTACACACAAATAACAAATCAATTGATAGAAATAATTAATTGAAAATAAATTGTTTTTTGACATCAGGAAATGAATGCAGCATACTCAAGAGCTGTGGGATTCATATGAAGGTACAACTGTTTGTCTGCATATAATGAAATCAGAACTCTGTGGTGGAAAATATTGTCAAAAAATGAAACTTAAGCGGAAATTACGTTATTTATTTGGTATAAAACAACTTTTAAACAAAGTTGTAAAGATTGGGGTGTGCATCCCTCCCTTTTAGATACAATTCAGGGACGATGCATATATCGAATATGGAACAACTGGAAATGATGCAATCTAAAACGGTTAACATTTGTTTAATGTATACATTTATTTTCCATTCTAAATTAAAATATGCCAATTCTATAAAAGTGGCACTGCTTATCTTCAAATACATATTTTTCAAAATACTAGTGAAGTCCCAAATATTTTCTTTTATGGGGGAAAAAACTAGAAGACAACTTGCCCAATTCGAGCTAAGTTGTGTCTGGAAAGTGTTTTTAATATTTTGCATGTTCTTGCTTGTGGTAGCTGTATTAGCATCCATAGGTGTCACCATGCCATCCAACCAGGGAACTGATTTATAGTGCTACCACTGGACAGACCTTTGGCCAACTTTCCTTCCTTTTTTATAGAATCCAAATATCTTCCAAAACATGATGATTTCATAAACATGAAACAGTTGGTGTATGTTACTAAAAATTCCTCTTTGAGAAACACCTTCAATACTGTTTGTACATTTTTTGCAGTGATGACATCAATCATCCACTCGATGTCCGTTGTAAATTGGAAAAACACAAACTGCTTTATTACTCAAGTGTCACAAGCAGGTAAAATCCACAGTTCAACAGCATAACTGAAATTAATGTGTTTACCAATTACCAAAAACTCTATTCTAAACATGACATACTAAAATTAGTCATATTCAATGAAACACCTACTCATCCGTTTAGTTTAGTTTAAAGTTGATATTCAAAGGTTATAACTCAAAATGTACATGAAGTAGTATCGGGAAACTGTAAGGAAAAATAATGTAAACATTTAAGAGGCTAATCCTTTCCTCACACATACATACTGTTTTAAATCAACATTTTAAATGGGTTATACACAATTCTTAACTTTTTATGTCTGCAGATAGTTTACATTTTCTAAAACTAGAAATCCAGTTTTAATTTTTTTTTTTTTTCTTTCAAACATCAAATTGAATCTTTATCAGTGGCAGTGAAGTGTCTCTTTAATCTGTCCATTCATGTCACAGTTTGGAAAAATCTGGAGATGTCAGACTTTAAGTTAACTCAGCGCACCTTTACACATCATTAGTGTTGGTTTTCTTGTGGGAACAGGCGGCTCTGCGCTGGTTTAGGAGGCAGTTCAGTTCTCAGAAAGACAAACCAGAGACAGACACAACACAGCTGTCTGTCATTTATCAGTGCGTAAGCCGTGATAACACACTTTCTGGGGCTGGCTGGAGGACTTTCAAACCACAGTGGTATAAAATCAGTTCTGATTGTTCCAGTCCAGCAGTGAGCAGCAGCACTTTCCCTCTCAGCTGTCCTGCAGCAGGTTGTATGATCCTCCATTCACCACCTCATGTTTGTCCTCCGCCTGCAGATTGTAAGTCTGCCGTTATTTTAAGTGTCAGAATAATGAGTCTTAACATGTGAGCTAACATTTAAATTCTAAAATCTAACTTATTTCTGTGTTTTCTTGAGGGTCTGTTATTATAGAACTATGACTCACTGTGACATTAGATGTTTTGGCCTCGGCTGATTCTGAAGCTGCTTCATAAACAGGGTTGGAGATGCTGCGACTGCAGTCTGCAGGTGGAGCTTCTTCTTCCTCTCCTTCGTCCTCCCCTTCGTCCTCCTGTCAGTCACAGAGGCAACGGTAAGCATGAAGAAATGTTAATTAAATTATCATCAAGCGTCTCATAACTACAAATAATAAATTTCTTGCTCTGATATCAAAACTGTATTAAACTAGTTCAGTTATTTTAGTTTTATATTCAGTTGTTCCACTAAAGGTTTAAATGTCTTAAACTAATGCTAACATCAATGCAAATAACTAAACTAAGAAATGTGTTGTATTAAACTAAAAGCAGTTTGTGTGTACTTTGTTTCACTTATACTAGCAATTGTTATACTGACATTTAATTATTTTTTTTTAAATCATACTAATTCAAATACGTGTTACACTAATATGGTTTTAACACATTTGTTAGTGTAAATACTAACAAGACTAACATTTTATTACTTTATACTAATAAATTCTAATAAACATCTCATACTGACATATCTTATACTAGACTTACACTAAAAAACATGTTATACTGACAGATAAATAATCCTAATGTGTATAATATCAACAACTGCATTGTATGAATACAAACAAATGTGTGATACTAACAAGTGAGTTTTTTCACTCTTAAATGGACAGTTTTAACTGACGGTGGAGTTGATCCTTAGGGGAGCAGCAACGCGTTCCGATAAATTCAACCTGACATCTAAGCTACGTCTCATCTGCACACTGAAGCTGCAATGAAACAAATATTTCCACTCTGACCTTGAAGTAGTGGAACTGGAACGGTTTGGTGTTGTGGGTGTAGAAGTGGTATCCGACAAAGATGACTCCTGCCACCAGAACGATCAGCAGCACCACTCCAACTCCCATCCCCGCCTTATGAGCCACGTGCATCTGAAGAGCCAACCACGGAAAAACATGCAATACCAGTTTTAGCAGTTAGTCTTTTCTTAAAAGTATATTTAGTAAATTCTGTCGTTATGACATCACTCACCTCGTGGCGAGGAGGCTGGGCTTTCAGTGGTCCCTGGAGAACATGTATGATCCCGTTCGAAGCCAGGATGTCCGACTCAGTGATGAAGCGGTTGTTGATGTAACGAGACGACTGAAGAGATGAAATATGTTATTAAATGTAGTGTCTGAATTCTTTTAATTGTTGCTGTTTTTATTTTATTTTATTCTCTTTGTTGTTCGTTTTTCTCATATTTTGTCAAGCACTTTATAAGCTTCAAATAAGTGCTATACAAATAGTTATTACTATTATTACTAATAACTATAATAAACACAAACAACCAAACTCCAGAAATGTTTGCATTCAGGCATAAATAAAATTTTGGGCCTGATTGTTTTGATCAGATATTATTAATAATATCTGAAATGAGAGTTGTGAGGGACAGTACAATAGCGCCCTCTAGTGTACAGTACAGTAACATCTAACCAGAGCTGAGGGGTTGAGCAGGTCAGCGACTCCGAGGACGGTCAGACTGCCGACACGAGTTCTGATCCTGCTGCCGTTCTTCAGCTGTCCGACAGGAAGAGCCTGACCCTCCGACAGGTGAAACTCAATGTCCTGCTGGGACAGAGTCTGCGGGGAGGGACACATGGACATATAGCTGAAGCCACGTTAACAGGCTGAGTACCTTTTGTGAGCTCTTTCTGTGTGACTCACCTGGTTGTTGGGTAGGCCGTTGTTGTCGGGTACAAACAGTGTGGACTGCACCGTCAGGTTGCTGAGACGTTTCAGCAGGTTCCTCCCAGACTCAGACACCTGAGACGAGTTGAGGATTTGCTGTAGAAAAAGCAAAAAGCAAAATATGTGTCACAAGGGGAGATTATTAAAAATGTTTTTTTTTCTTTGTGTATAATTGATTTATTAGTTTACATCTCTTATCATTCTGTATTTGTTATACCAATGGTAGTCCATCTCCTCCATGGCTGTTTGATTAAGCTACTTGTATTTAGTTTGGTCTATTATTTATTTTCAATGTATTAAAACTTATTTGGGAAAAAATGTAAAACATTTGATTTGTGACAGCAGACAACCGTCGGACTCACCGTGAGGAAGTTGGAGAAGTTCGGTGTGGACTCGAGGACCTGCAGGAGGTTTCCTGTACAGCTAAAACCATCTCCAACGTAACCGGGCTTACACTCACACTTCACCTCTGAAATAAGTGATTGCTGATTATTGACGATTAATAGATCAGAATCATACATCCAAAGACCAAGAGAACAGATTGGGGGTTATAACGTCATTATACTCCATGTATTTGATTATAATTCAATTGTATTTGTTCTACACTATTGTTCCTCCTCTTCCTCTCTCACCCTTCATCCGGTAGCAGAAGGTGTCCCAGGTCTCCCCCAGGTCTTTGCGGGTGCCATAGTCCACGATGCCCACGTGTCCAAAACCACAGTTGGGATTGGAATAGGTGGTGGGGTACGCCACGCGGGCCTTGTCCAACCAGCCAGCAGCACACAAGTTCAACCCACCCTACGACCAGTAGACAGCACTTTAATCAACAGGACCAGCAGATCGCAATAATATAATAACTGTCAGTGTAGTTTTTATCAAACAAGCAGGAGGAAATGGTGCATTTATTGGGGATGAACAAATGGATTTTATCTTATTTTTGCACATCGCAAATATGTCACCCTGCTAATTTACAAATTCCCCAGCCAATTTCTTTTTTTTTGCACATTTCGGTTTGGCTCTTATTGTACATACCCCCCCCCCCATATATATATATGCTCCTATTTTTATCTTTATATATTTCTATGTTTAATTGTTATGGTCCAACTTAACGAGGCAAATTCTTTGTATGTGAAATCCTACTGAACCTGATTCTCTTCTTTTATTTTCAACAGTGGGCTATTCCACATTTGGTGCTCTAGTGACTGTTCGGGGCAGGAGGACGGTGTATAAATACACTAGTTAGTGTGAGTGTGTGTGTGTAGCTAATTTTTAATAGCTCAATAACAGTTTAATATCAGGCTTTAACACACAAACAACACTCATTACAGTACAAAAAAAACCCCAAAAACAGGAAAGTCACAGACAAACAGATAAACTGATGCTGTAGCTGTGTTGTGTTCACTGACCTGCTGAGCGTAGGACAGCTGATTGTATGTAGCCAGGGTAGCTCCCAGTGCAGAGCAGGCCTTTTGGGCTTCAGTGTAGTTCAGTTTGTACTGACCTTTGTATGAACGGAAGTGAAACACACCAAACGTTGTATCTACGCACAAACACAACAGAAAACACATTTTTATACCAGCATACTGTTTATGACTTAACAACATCAAAGGCAGACTGCAGGAATTCAGCAACAAGTAATTATCATCTGCATAAAAAATTACTTTGTAAAGTATCACAGATTATTCACATGGAACACTGTTGCACACCTTTTAGTAATGACTAAATCACTAGTAATAAATCAATTAAGAATCTTTTCATAAAGGCTGGATCATTAGAAGGTGGCACATCACATCGTTGGCGTCAGCACGTTAAACTTTTTATCTGAGGATAAAGAACGTGATTTATTCTGGAAGCTGCAGTTCAACATCAGATGAGTGAAACGTTTGTATTTATAGATAAATAAATAAGAGTTAAATAAGATAACTAGTTTGTAATTAATATTATTAAAACTGTATAATTTATGACCAGTCTTTTCATTATTCATTGTTACACACCAGTTACAGATGCTTTATAGTTAACAAATATCTTCTTACAACATTATGTGTTATTAAGCACATATAAAATATTTATATGATGCTGATAAAGTAAAAAGAGAACTAGAAGTAAGCAGAAGGGTCAACGCCCAAAACCAAAACACTGATCAATTTCCATCCGGATACCTTCAAAGTGAAGGTCGGTGCATTTGGCGTCTTGATGACATTGTCCGTTGTCTTGGAGACAGCGGCTGATTGGCAGCTGTTTGACCTCACACGTGACTCCGTCTCCGATGTAGTTGTCCTTACAGGTGCACCTCGACTTCCCCTGTTCACACAGTTCACACAGTTCAAATATAACTGACGGATCTGATGGGCCGAACTTTTTCAGTGATTGTGGTATGTTCTCACCGGTGCCGTCGGGGTGCAGGTGGCGTGCTCGTGGCAGCCGCCGTTGTCTGCGAAGGAACAGCGGTCAATGGGCTGGCAGTTGAACCCGTCTCCAGTGTGACCTTTAGGACAGGTGCAGCTCACTTTCTCTCCTGTCTGAGAACACTTGGCTCCTTTAGCACAACCGCCGTTCCAGATCTGACACATGTCCATCACTACAGACAGACAGACAGATATGGCGATAATATTGTTATTGTGAATTTCATGTAGTGACGTTTGATATCGTTACAGCCCTAGCTGAAAATCTCACACACCATTTATGTGTATTGTATCTGAGGAGCATTTACCTGTACAGGTGAAGCCGTCTCCTTCATAAAATGGCCGACACATACAGGTGCTGTTTTCCCGACAGACGGCTTTTGGAGAACAGGGCGGAGAACACTGAAAGATTTCAGCTGGACCAAACACAGAGACACTGTTAGTGAGATGGACAAACTCTGATATTAATGAAGGAAGAAAAACCTTATGGCACAGATATTTATATCCTTTTTATTAGGCAAGCTAAAATGAGCTGGCTAGCTGCAACCCAGCCATCCTGAATAATGTTATCTGGCACTGACAAACAGCGACCAACATTATCGAGCAGAAAGCCCAATCAGACAATATGTTATACAAGCTTGGCAGTAATGTTAGCTTTGACTTTGGACTTTGTGTTGGACTGTTGTGGTTGAAATGATTATTTGTAGATTAGTGGACTCCATTTATAAGCTAACGTTAGCTAGTGTTGCACACTGTTGACACTGCACACAAATGTCAACAGAGAAAGTCGGGGAAGATCACATTTTTGAAGTTAATGCTATGTGAACTGGAGGATCTGGGGATTGAACCCCCAACCCTAGCAGACCTCTTGAGCCACTTCCCGTCTGTTAAATTCATTAGATGACAGAAAGTCCTCTAGAACTCACCTTGTGGGGTCTCACAGCGTTCTCCGGTCCAGCCATCCTCACAGAAACATGAACCTGTACCTCTCCGTCCAGCGTCACAGGACCCGTGTTCTGAACAGTTACAGGCTGAGAACCACATGAAGAACACAAACAGTCAGCATTATAAAACCTTAAAACAGGAAACTGTCTGACGGCTGCTCACCTTTACAGGTGGGTCCGTAGAATCCATCACTGCACAGCTCACAGGCCACGCCCCCAAAACCAACATCACAGGTACAGGTACCGTTACCAAGTTGACCATCGTCACATTTACCGCGGTTACTGCAGGGAGAGCTGACTCCGCCGGGACAGACTAAAAGAGGAGAGATCAATAAACAGCTCACAACATCTACATAGATAATGTCATCTGCTCATTAATATTCATGATGTCACTGCGATCATTCGCATGTCAGAATGTTCCATTAAGAAGAAAATAAACAAAAACAGAAATCTTTAGTCTCACAAAAAGTTTTTCCTTTTTACAAAGTAAATTAAAAATATTCATATTACAACAAGTACAATATATATTTATTCTATTCAAACAGATAAAATATATGTTTATATTTTATTATATTCAGAGATATTAAGAGAATATATATATAAATACACATATTTATTATTTTAAAACCCCTTTAGAGAACAACAGCGGATATTTGCTCAAATATGTATGGAAGCCCATTTGTGCCATAACAAGAAATAAAAATGGCTAGAAAAGGTCAGAAAAATATGTATGATAAGTAAAATTCTGAGTCGACTTTTTTAAGGAAATTATGACACTGAATCACATCATAACTTTTATAGTAAAAATAGTAAAACAGTAAAAGAGTTATGACTTAAGTAAAAATGATGGTAAGTCAAAACTACAACTTTCAATTGTAAAACAACATTTGAGTTTTAAAGTCACAATTCGGACATATTAAAGAAAAGCTGTACAATTTAAAGTGAAAGTTATGATAGTAAAAACAAAAGTCAAAGTTGTAACTTAAAAATCTAAAAGAAAACTTTTAAGTTGAGATTATTTATAATAAGTAATAAAAATTAACTAAAAACTATAAGAAAGTAAGTCAAAAGCGCAACTTTTAAATTCTTGGTGAGATAAAAATAGTAAGAAAAATTACAACTTTAAAAGTTACAATTCTAAGAAAGTGAGTTTAACATCTTACATATAGACAGTAAGTTTTATATTTACATTTTTATTAAAAATGTTAAGTCACAATCATGTTTTTGTTTAATTTAATCTAAAAAAATGTTTTCGAATTGTGGTGTGAATCTCAAAAGTTGTAAATGTGTTCATAATGTTTGGTATATGTCAATGTAGTTGACGGCATCATCTCACCCAGACAGTCTCGTCCATAGTAACCATGACAACACTTTGACCGCCAGAACTTGACGATGCAGACGCTTATACAGCCAGAGTTTTTAGAGATGAACACAGTGGGAAGATCGCACTTCTGCACCTCCTGCAGACGAAACAAAGAGAAGAGTCAGACTCACAGACTTTTCTGACGGGTTTATTTCTGTGAACTCGACTCAGACCTTCAGTTTGGATTCTCCGGGACAGCGAGTAGCTGAGGACGAGCACAGTCCACATTTACTCTGGAAGAGAAAGAAACAGGGAAATAAAATCTCCAGACCTCCTTCTAAAAATGGGATTCAGCAAACAGTCTTTAAAGGGAAGATTTACCTGAAGCTCAAAGGTGGTCTGTTCATCGCAGCGTCCTCCGAGGCTGGGCGGAGTCAGCAGGCAGTTGATCCCGTAGGCGATTCCACCATTAAAGATGAGGTGTCTCTGAACGATCCGACACTTTCCGTCATTAACAAAGATTTCTCCCTGTTCAAAGATTAATAACAACCACATTAACAAGTGCCCGCTGTCTCTTCTTATTTAGTTTATATGTTTCTGTCTTCCTTACGATGTCATCCAACCCGCCACAGGTGAACGAGAGCGGGGAACCCTGCAGAGTCCGAACCGAGTCCAGATGGATCAAACCTTCGGCGTAAATCTGAGTGTGGAGAAAAAAGAGAGAATGTGCTCAGAGAGTCCTGAGAGAGGAAACTTTCAATGTAAAGAGTGCCCCCTGGTGGCTGAACACTGCCACAACCACCAAGTTTCATGTCAAGACAAATGACCCAAAATCTAGTTTTTACAACTTTACTGTCTGTCTTGAAATCACAAATTAAGGATCTCATTATGTAAGAACAAAAACTTTATTGGGATGAAGAGTAGGTAATGAAAGTAGAGTAAAGTTATGAATTTGTTATGAATCTGTTGACTGAAGCTTTGCTATTAACAGTCTCTCATGTTGCCGCAAGGTCTCGATCGGCGCAGCGCTCCAACTGGGTGAGGTCTAAGGTAATGACTGCAGAAAGTCTTTCTGTCTGTGTTTGTTGGAAAAGCAACAAACACAATGACTGTAATGCTGAAATAAGACATTTGTCTCAAAGACAAAAACACTTGGGATTCCCTGGTATTCTATAAAATATATGTATTTGAAGGTAAACAATGTCACTTTTATAGAATTGTCTTATTTTAATTTAGAATGGAAAATAATTAATCAAACAATTAATTAATTAAACAAATGTTAAGAACTGTATCAGACTGCATCGTGTTCCCATGTATCAATGAGAGGGATGCAAACCTCCATCTTTTAAACATTGTTTTATTCCAAATTAATACATTTATCTTAATTTTCACTAAATGGTTCATTTGTTCACAATATTTTCCACCTCCATGTGATCTGATTTCTGATTTCATTATATGCAGACAACACACAGTTGTACCTTCATATGAATCCCACTGATTTGAGTATGCTGCATTCACTTCCTGATGTCAAAAACTGAATGACAAATATTTATTTTCAATTAATTATACATTTCAATAAATTGAAGAAGTTATTATTAGTATATTTGATCTGAATCGGAACGCTTTCCCACCATGGATGAGATGTGACAGCTGTGTTTCCACTGTTGAAAGAATGAATGAACTTCGAATAAAATAATTCTTGTGTATAAAAATAGAGTATCCATTCTTTCTTCTGATGTTTTCACTTTTTACATTTTCATAGAACAGAATAGTCTGTGGGTCAAGATTACTGAATTTAATAGAAAATGCTGGCGGGAAAAATGTTAACGTTATTTGTAACCTTCCTCACCTTCTGGGCCTGCAGGATGTGGTACTTCAGGTACTCCTCCAGCTGTGGTCGGTTGTCTCGGTGGAACAGGAAGTCTTTCTGCTCCTGCGGCAGAGACGCCATGGCGGCGTCTGAGGGCATGAAAATTGTCACCGGCTCGTTGATTGCATCATTCACCAGGTCCATCACACCTGTGTCCTGAAACATACAAACATACATAAGCACTGCTTAACAAGACAAAGATTAGTTTAGTACATTTCCATGGTTGCAAAATGATGTCAGATTCACATTTCACAGATAATTGTGTTTTGCAAATTGCAGATAGAATTGTCCAAATGTCCTAAAGGGCTCTTATTCAATTATTTTTTTATTCTTTTATTTGTTGGCTATAAAAAGTGAAACATCTCATATTGCAAATTGTACCTCACATGTAGTAAATTTGGTGAAACAGGCCCCTGAATTATATTTTTGCATTTGTGTTAAGATTGGGCCCAAAAAATCAGGGCTGACCCAACCCCAGAAAACGTCTGTGCAAGCCTGAAAAATCACAGAAGCAGTTTTGGGCCGACCCAAACACCGCTGCCACCATTTAGGTCCACCAACTTCAAAGCTAGGCATGGGGCCAAACTGTGGTGCCCGGTGGAATTTTGCTGTCTCTATAAGTGTTTGTCCTCTCGCTCATTCTTCGTGTGCATACTTTGTAGCTGAATGTCATTAGCCAGCAGCTCTCATTCATCAGAGGCACACCATTAAATTAGCAAAATAAAATGACAAAAATCAGGCAAAAGACCAAGCACAAACAGCGATGGACTCAATCAAATACATACATTAGTAGGTCTGAGGATAAAAGGACCAGTGTGCTCCACAGATAAAGTCCTCAGAGGTAAATGTGTGATTTTCAGATGTGTATCCTAATCAAACTGGACTAAATTTAGTCAGTCCACAGTGGAAGTTTGAAGAGAATGAAATGATATGAAGTTACCAAAACACATTTTTACAGATTTAATCTTTTATTTTAAAGCTTACCTCCAGCAGTTTGTAGAAGGTTTTATAACCGTGACGTTCAGCCACATCTGTCAGGTTCAGCTGTGTTAAATAAAGCAGGAAAACATTAACAACATTATAACATTAACATAATAACAAAGTAACATTATATAAAAGAGAGAGACGGTTCATTGGTTACAGGATCATCATCTCTTTTAAACTGTTGGTCAGACTAAAATAAGTGTGGAGACACTTCAGGCTCTGGGAATTACAGACTTTTTCACAACATGATTAACTGTTTAATGAGAAGCTAACCGATTGATCTGCAGCTGTGTTGTGTACTTACAGGACCGACTGGCTCTTTTATTCCGTCAATGTCGAGAGGAATCAGAGCCTTGCTGACCTCATAGAGAATCCCGTTAGTGCCATCGCCGTTGAAGGTATCCACGATAGCACCATTGATGATGAATCTGGACTCAAGTTCATACTAGTAAACAAACAAACATCATTACAAACCTAAATATCTTAATTAATCAATTTCAGATCAAACATTATGTCCATATCAGATTTATTCAAAGATTATGATCAAGATGGTTATTAACCCTTTGGGATCCAATTATTTGTATTTTTACATATCTTCTAAAAAAAATTCACCTGTACAAGGGACTTGAATAACATGATACAGTATATCCATGGGTTTTATATCAGAAAGTCGGTCTGTATATTGAGGTACTGTTTGAGCTCTGTGGAAAGAGATTATTTGACCTTAAAGTCTGTTTAATGAGATTCTTCAACTCTCTTGTGAAAACACACCTTTACTAAAGTCGACCAAATGTTTTGGTCCAAACCAAAGTCTTAGGTTCACAAAAATAGTGGAATATATGAATAAAATAGTACATAAATGTATAATAAATTACTTAAGATCTTCCTCCTGGGCGTCGGCCAACAGTGACAAACACTGAACGCTGTAAAATAACTGACAATCATATTTAGAATAACGTTACTATCTGTAATGTTCCTATATTTTATTTGGACCGTTAGCTCCATGCTACTAACAAAAACTTACAAATCAGCCCATCAGCCAACACCACGAAGCAACCAACGGCAGACCCACGTCCTGCCATTCACCCATTCACATACACATTCACACTTCGACATGCAGCCAGAGGAGCTGGGAATCAAACCGCCAACTTTCTGATTAGTGCTCTACCAGCCAGCCACCCCACAATGCCGCATCAGCCCCGGGAATCTGGATGAAGCTAGCTGACAGTATTTCTAATAATAATAAGGAACTCAAAGACAGTTCACAAAGGTAAAATACTAAAAAGGTAATAGAAACAACACACCAAAAGAAATACAATTAAATATATATTTCTATGCTAGCTAGCTAGCAATTAGGCCATTTTATCAGCTTGTAATGTTAGCTTTGACTTGGACTTTATTCATAAGCTAAACAAAACGTTTAAGTATCATGAACCTTTTTTCGCCACAGAGACTATTATCTGTAATAAACATATACATACATATTTTCTTGTGTTTCTTTTATATCTTTATATATCAAACACATGTAGCGTATTAATCAAATAAACTCAACAGGCTGAAGTCACAGTATTAGTTTCACTTTAACATGTTGTGCCCTTCTCCTTGTTGTATATAACTGGTTCAGCTTAAGGTTCCTTAAAGCAACAAATTCATAGTTAATCATTAATGTTAGCTACAGTCCTGAGTCTGATTCTGCTCTCTGATTGGTCACCTCGGTGGACTTCGTGGTCAGGATGTGTCCGGATAGAGACGTCAGGTTTCGGGGCTTCCTCAGGAAACTGAACCCTAGAGTGTGACACATGACGATGTGGCTGCGCAGGATGGTGCCAAGTTGTTCTTTGGTGTTCCACGTTGAAGAACTTATCTACAGAGAAAAAATTAATAAAAGGACTAAAAAAGGTAAACATTATACCTGCTAAACATCAGCATATTAGCATTGTCATTGCAGACATATTAGCAGGCTGTGCAGGCTCACAGCACTGCTGGAATGACTTCAGTTGAAGCAATATGTAGATGACACACTGCTTATTTTGGGGGAAAATGTGAATGACATGACATGACTGTTGTTGAATAAAAATTCACTATTATTAAAGAAATAGTTTGATATAACAATAGTATGGTGTTACATCTGAGTAAAACTAACTTGTAAATTGCACATTAGAATAAATTAAACAGTGTCATACTACTTGTATAAAATGTAAAATAACTATCAATCATATTTAGAATAACGTTACTATCTGCAATGTTCCTATATTTTATTTCGACCGTTAGCTCCATGCTACTAACTAGCTCACTGTTTACAAATCAGCTCATGTTAGCTCGGGCAACAACAAAGTCAAAGTTTTATCATTTATTCAATTATTTTACAAAAATGATTGGTTCATTTATATCTTGTACACAATTTATTGATTATAAATTTTACCCTCTTTTTCTTCTATTCACATTAAATTCACATCCAACAGTTTAGTTTATTTCAGTGTGGACTGAAGTGGGATAGGGTTAGTCACACTACAAGAAACATAAGGAAAGAAAAACATCTGACACTAAATCAAGACATTTAATTGCTCACCTTTCTGAGGGCGCTGAAGGCGTTGGCAGGCGGAGCAAAGACGGTGAATGGGCCGCGACCTGTCAGAGGAATGTCCAAAATCTGAAACCAGAGTTTGTACCTGCGTTAACGTGTTCTGACCTGCAGGAGGCGACAGAGTGAAACATGTCGTCACTCACCATCAGCCCGAGGTAAAAGTCTCGCCTTTTCTTCAGGAGCTCCTGCATAGAGTAGCAGTTAGTCCACAGTCAGGTTCTTAGCATTTCATTGTCAGTGTGTGTCAGCCGCTCACCTGCGCCATGTTGCCTCTGCAGGTGAAACCATCTCCCACATGGTCTTTGGGACACCAACATTTACGAAAACCTGGGCTCGTCATGTTACACCGAGACTTAACGGGACAGCCACCATTATTCTGAAAACATAATTTATAAAAACATCACCTTACATAGAACTTTTAGATTATTCTAAAGGATGTTTTTGCAATATTAATGTGCTACCTCGCAGAATTACACCTTTTTTTTTTTTAACTTTTATCAAAGAAATATAAACAGTACATACAAACATATAATAATTAAATGAAACAATTATGGTAAATAAATCAAATATAACCAAATAAACATTTTTAAAATCCTACAGTTTTTAAGACCCGCGGTAACTAATACTTGATCTTAATATCAAATAATTCAATGAAACTGAATCACCTTTTGGCAGTAGTCGATCATCTCGCAGTTCTGTCCATTGCCTAAGTAACCAAATTTGCAGGCGCAGGAACTCTGCAGTGTTACAGAGAATGACATCAGTAAAAAATAAACGTGACGGCAGTGAACGCCTCACTATCAGCAGACCTCAGTTTAAGGTGAAATCAGTACTTACTTTGTTTGGGCCGACGTGAATGCAGTCCGCGTTGACATGGCAGCCGCCGTTTCTTTCCCGACATGGATTGATTTCTGTAGGAGAAACACAAAACTCCTGCAGCACTCAAACACATCACACAACCTATTTATTTAACTGACAGAACGACAGTCAGAGTAACTCACAGCAATTTGGTATTGACTCAAAACAGTGTTTTCCTCGCAGTAATATTTTTGTGTAACCTCAAAGTGCTTTTGCATTACGTTGCAGTATTTTTTGTTTTCTTGCAGTATTCTCTATGGAAGCCCTGAAAGGCAAATGCATTTTTCATGCATACAATTTTTATTTCATCAATGAGAACAGGTAAAAAAAAAAAAAAAAAGTTTATGTTGTTGTAATACTTGTTTCAACCAGAAGGGGGCCGAACACCACTGCCACATGTTCCAAACAGGACATTCATGTTTTATTCAAGGTGAGTTTCTATTTTTTAATCTCTGCACTCTAAACACAAGGTACATTTTACTTTTATTGGATAGAAATGTATTGTAATTCGAGAAATTCAATAAAAAAAAAAAACTTTTTTACAACAATAACTCAAATGAGTCACTGTTCAATAACAGGAAGAGAACGAAGAAGAGTTTAAAGAATGAAAACAGTGAACTTACCCACGCACACAATTCCGTCACCGGAGTAACCACGGTCACAGACGCATTCCCTTCTGCCGGGTCGAGTCCTCTTACAGACCGCGTTCGGATTGCAGCCGCCATTAAGCTCCAGACAGGGGTCTTTAACTGCGCACACACACAGCATCATCATCATCGCCATCAGCATCATACCACAAATGCTTTGTAACAACTGACTGTGTTTCTGTCTGATCTCAGCTGTTTCTGATCAGCTCTTGTGTTGTTACCTCGACAAAAAGATCCGTTTCCTTCAAATCCAAAAGCACAGATACACCGAGAGAGGGGTGGTGCGATCACACAGCTGTCAGAGCAGACCAAACATTTCATTAACAGGAAGTCTGAAATGTCCCGTGTGCAATAACAAGTGTATCCTGAAGGGGGCGATGCAGCCACAGTGAGTTTGTGTCGACTTACTTTGCGCTGGTGTGACATTTCATCGAGCCGCACAGCTCATCATCTGCAGACTCAATCTCTGAAACAGACACAGCTCAGTGTGAGAGTCTCAATACTGCAGTTCAAAGAATTATTAGATACAACTTTATGGGAATAAAGTCATACAAGTACAAGAAAAAGGTTTACATTTGAAAAATTTGGAAATAAAATTGAAAATGTTTGTGAGAAACTGAATATTTTGAGATTAAAGTTGAAATTTACAGAAAATGTTGACCTTTTTAATATACAGTCAAAATATTTTGAGAACATCGACAATTTAAGAATTTATTTCTTTAATTTATTTAAGAATAAAGTAAAAATAAAGTTTTAAAAAGTCTAAACTTAAGTTCGTTAGTACAAACTATATTTGAAATGAAATGAAAGATAATGAACTATAACAACTTGTTCTCATTGTTTTATTGAAATATTCTAACTTTTTTCCCAGAAATATTTGACTTTGACTTATTGTCTTGTTATTTGTTACAATTTATTCTCAAAATCTCAAATTCTTATGACTTTTCTGTTAAAATGTTAAAATGAGATATTGCTGTATTGTGTATCACTGTCATACTTTCGTCACAGAGGACTCCTCTCCAACCAACGTCACACTCGCACGCCCCATTGCCGGCCAGCCCGTCGTTACAGCGGCCATTTTTACAGCCACACTCTGGAGACGAGATAGACTGAGTTAGGAGAGGGGTGGGTATATTTTGACTTTATTTATCTGTATGCCTGTATGACGCACCCTGATCGCAGTGGACTCCATATTTGTTGCTCTCGCAGGTTTCGCAGGCGGTCCCGCTGAACCCTTGGTTACACTGACAGACTCCAGTCCCGTTGGTCCCATCCGAACAGACTCCGTTATTGAAGCAGGGCTGATCCTTTGGGCCGGGACACAGCTCACAGTGCTCCCCGAAAAACCCTCCACAACACCGCAGGACCTGGACAGAGAAGACGTTGAGTGCTCGGCGTCTTCGCTATGTGTCTGACCGTTACCTGCGACGGCAGGACGACGTACCATGTGGGTCCGCAGGCAGGTCGCTCTGCAGCCGATCGACAGCAGGCGCTCTTCTTCAAACATCCGACTCAGCATACATTTCCTCCTCTTCACTAATTTCTGCAGAGGACAGGAAGTTATCAGAGGAGATCACATCATAAAATCATTTATTTAACTATTTAATGAATCATTTTATTGTCTTATTATTTTATTTAATGCATAGAAATATACACTCTCTCTTTGCAATATGTTTTCTTGAGTTCTAGATATGTACAAACGTTCATTTGTGTTAAACACTTTATACACAAACTTGTGTTGTACACCCTCCTTGAGTTGCAATTACATACGTATGTATTTTGATGATACATACGTTTGATTGTTTAGTTACATACGAATGTAAATATACAGTATATGCTGTCACTGAGTTGCATTATGTTGCTTTTACATATGTGCAAACATATGTACATAAATGTCTGTTATACTTTTGTTGTTGTAGTTATATACGTATGGAAATTATCATATACATATTTTAAGTCACGGTTACATAATGTACATTTCTGATATATATAGGTTATATATAAGATTTAAAACATGAATTTAGCAGATGAACATAGATTGCAGGAACAACAAGACTAACAAAGACGGTTTTGGTGAGTTTTATTCTGTTTCTGTCCACTTTGAATGAAGTTACGATGATCTGAAGGTAAAATGAGTCTCTGGAGTCTGGTGGAGAGTGATAGTGATATTACGGCTGTTTGTGGTTAAACTATCTCTGTAGGGATCCTTTCCATAATGCTGTCAGACACTGAGAATAACAACCTGAGTCAGTCAGGTTTACTAATAAAGTTTGATTTTATTGTCAGTCCAATTTTCAGATGAAACTAGCAAAGATGAAGGTCGACCTTTGTGCCTCATTAGTCAGAATCCTTTAGTGGAATAAACTCAACTCCTGCTGGAACCTTTGTGGTTGTTTTTTCAGTCTCACAGTTTGTTTGACCCATCTGATATTTAATTACAGTCTCATTTCAAAATAAATAGCATTAATGGTCTTACGTCCGGTATCGTGTCATTCGGGCAGGGTTTGCTTTGTGGGAACAAACAGTCCACACAGGTCCCCTTTGGAGAGAAAAGAGGGAGTCAGTTAATTCCAGTTTGAGTGGGCTCAGTGGTTCAGGTCTACAGGTCTCTGAGGACCCTACCATGATTTTCTGCTGTTTGGCCTCATCACAGCGGTTCCTGTTGATGCGTAGAACCGCCGACAGACTGTGAATGACTCCGTTAATGCTCAGGATGTTGGAAGAGTTTATCTGAGCATCGTTCACAAACAGCTGGATGAGACACAGACAGATAGTTTGGATTTTATATATATATATATGTTATATCTGGTGCCATGATGGTGATATTGATAATTGATTGTATAACCTTTCCATCTCGTGGATAGATGCCGAGCTGGAAGGAGAACCCGAGCAGCGTCTTTTTGTATCCTCCAGACTGAAGGTCGGTCTCCAGCAGACGCTCCGACGCAACCACGTGGTAACGAGTCGTATTCACATCCTGTTTAAAGTACAAAATAAAAAGCAAAAATAAAAACTGTCCAGTTCTTGAATAACTTACTAATAACTTATTATGAAATATAAAGATATTTATGAGTTATTTTAGTTTTTACCTGTACTAACCTTGTGTGACTAATGTAAAGGGAGGATATAACCACATTTCTGTATTAACTGCAAGATGTTTTACTTTGAGTAGAAAACAAGTAACAAAAAATTTATCTTTTGCTAAAAAAAAACTTTTTTAATTATGTAAAAGTCAACCCATGATGATGTACAATCTCTTAAGACAGAAAATTAACCAAATGAGAAAATATTTGATGCAATTTTAATATGTTTGAATATTACTTAAATATAAAATCACATCATCTGAAAAGAAACTGGCTTTTTTTGTTTTCTCTGCCTGTTTCTGCCATTCCTTTCTTCTGCCTGACTCTCCTAGTGCCTCTTATTGTCTAAATATGATATAATTTCCCCCTGGGATTATTAAAGTATTTCTGATTCTGATAAGTTTCATTTGGTCGCTTCTTAGTAATTATTTATTGTGGAAATTTAGAAATGGTTCTTTAGACAGAAAAGACCAATCCAATCCAAGTTTTGCCGCATCTATTGCCGTCAATGTCCAGATGAAATGAAAAATTTAATTTTAACCCTTCAATATCACACCCTCAGTTCAGTGCCCCTACTTAATAATGTGTGTCTTAGTATTTTTATATCAAAATCCAATCATTTTGTCTTCCCATAACACAAAATTTGACGTGCTTACGTAAGCATGAACTAACCAATTTCAACCAGAGGTATCATGAAATTCTGAACTACTGTACCAGTGCAGTTGCAGCTATTGTCCTGAGGTAATCAGCAATGGCAGCATTTGTTGGAGCAAAGACTGTGAACTCTTCCATCTGTTCGATCTCGTCCATCAGGTTGTAATCCTGAACGAACCGGAGAAAAACACAAACTGTGAACCAACTTTACCAATATTTAAAGCTGAGAACATATTGTGTGGTGCGTTTCTTCGTTCGTACGATGAGATACGATCTGAAGAGAGAGAAGTCGGGGGTCAGAGCGAGAGTCGCCAGCAGACCTTCACTCAGCTTCCTCTCAGGAACCAAAACCTGCAGACAGACATATGAAACGGTGAGAGACAGAAAGGAAAGAGTTGGAGTGTCTGGAACATTATCAGTTTTGTACCTTATCGATGATGTGGATCAATCCGTTGGTAGCGGCTAGGTTTGGTGTGGTGATGGTTGCTCCTCCGACAGCTGTGAGCTGAAAGATAATGAGAGTTTCTGAACCAAATGTTTCTGAAAGGTTGCTTTTATAAAAGAAAGGAAGGATTTTTTTATACATATGTTGCCCTCAATAAATAAAACTCAATCAGTAGAAGTCAGAGGATGCTTTCTAACGGTCACAAAGTGAACATTTTATCTAAAATTAGCTGGTAAACCATCACTTCTGTGCACTCACCTCATTGGTTGTTGTAACAGGAAGTGATGTCTTCAGAAGGGAAGTCAGAGAGGAAGTGTTGCTCAAGATGGATATTGGATAATTACCTGGGATTATGTGATTTCTGTGATATAAGACAGACGGCAGTGATTACACTTAAAACTAAATTCATTCATTTTCATCTATTGACAATCACCAAACTACAGTCTCGCCAATAAATAACAAATCATGAGCCACGTTTAAAGGACCTGACGAGACTCGGCAGGTTTCCCTTCGTGGTCCAGAAGTTTATGTCCTCCGAAGACATTTTAGCAATGGCAGCTGAAGACGGAACCAGGAGGGTGATGTTCTGATCCACCAGAGTCCAAGACGAACCGGTCTCCTGGGATGCAAACACAGAAATATAATCTCTGACATTATATTAAATTAGCTATAGGGAAAATAATATAAATCATTATAAATATTGTATATAACTGCTGTTACATACTTATGCAAAATTGTGATATAAACTCTTCTTAAGTTGTTTGTATCTGTTAGTGCTGTCAGTTAAACGCGTTATTAACAGTATTAGCGCAAACCCATTTTAACGCGTCAATTTTTTTATCGCAAGATAACGTTCTTTTTGGCCTAGCACACTTTGTAGTTTTTTTCACATGCTGTTGCAACAACTAGTAACGTTAGAAAAACTACAACACCACACTGGATCTAGCTAGACCGGAAACAAAACAACAGGCATGCCGCACACACTTGTTTAAGAGTAGTAGACGTTACGTTTTGAGTGGATGGCGAGCGAAATGGATGCCAATAATATTCTGAATGGAAAGTTTACTTTTAAAAAGTTGCCAAATGGTTCCATTGACAAGACCAAAGTGATCTGTGTGTTTTGTCGTTGTGAACTGAGCTATCATCGCAGCACGTCCAGTCTGAAATACCACTTGATGGCCAAACACACAGCTGATGGGAATTCTCCGCCCCCTCGTCAAAGCCAGGCGACAATGGATGATTTTAATAAAAACAACATTTGCACAAAGCAAGCCGATCCACTTTCCCATGTTGATAAGAGCATTAAAATTAGAAAAAATAATGGGACAAAAAGAAGAAATCAAGGGACATTTAGAATAGATAAAAACATGCGATTAATTGCGAGTTAACTATGACATTAATGCGATTAAATATTTTAATCGTTTGACATCACTAATCTATGTACATAAATTCACAACACATTCGTTAGGGTTTGGGATATAAGTTAATTTGTGTTATAAGTTAATGTGTATATATATATATATATATATATATATACACACAAACTTAAGATGTACACTCTGCTTGAGTTCCAATTACATACGTATGTATTTTGCTGATTAATATAACTGTTTATCTGCGAATACGTACATCTGTAAATGTACAGTATATCTTGTCATTTAGTTGCATTTATGTATGTAGATTTACATACGTCCATATGTACAAACATATGTACCTACATTTACATAATACTTTGTTGTTTAATTATATATGTATACAAATGACCACATAGAGCCATTCCATAATTCTGTCAGACATTGAGAATAACAATCTGAGCCTAACTACTGTTAGTGGACGCACTTTAACCGAGGATTAACGTTAGCTTAACGTTGCAGACCTTATCACACATATTTTCACATCTAATATCTAACTTTATTTAGACCAAAACCAGAGTTGGTGATTGGAAAGACAAACAAATACGGTTTTGGTGAGTTTTATTATGTTTCTGTCCACTGAATGATTATCTGCTAGAATTTTTTTTTTAAATGACTGGTTACATCAATGGAGTCACATTATAAATATGTAAATTTGAGATACATATCATATGTGCAAACACAATTAATGCTCTCCAGTGAGATACAGTTAATTCTCAGTTCCCTGTTAACTTCTTAATTATGTTATTATCCAGTGGATGGAAATAAATAGATTTTCACGGTTATTAAAGCTGTCAGTGTGTTTTATATCCAGGTCTAATACTCACAGTTGTCCATGTGAGGAACTCTGAGGCGTCTGGCAGAACCATCAGCTCCTGAACGCATCAAAAGAACAAAGTCGTGAAGATATGAAAGCGCTGGTTGACTCGTGAACGTGGTCATCAGTATTAATGAGTCTCACCTGTTGGACTGTACCGTAACATATGTGTCCATTTCCAGTGTATTCATCATTACACACACACGTCCACTGAAAGGACAGCAGGCGGCAGGTGGCCTGAACACAAAAGGTTTTATTATTATTTATCATTCATATCCTACTGTCTGCTTTATCTTTAATATTTAACAATATGAATTGTACTCACTAAGTAATGGCAGGTTCCAGCTGCAGTTACACATTGATTAACAGCTTCACAGTCTTGCCCGTTTCCTTTGTAGCCGGATTTACACATACAGTCACTCTGTTGGTTTAACAAAGAAAGAGAAGGACATTTTTCAGTTTGTTTTTTGTTAAAGGATAATGTTATTCAGTGTGGCTGAGTTGCAGCTGGACAACGTTAGCTTGCCTATTCGCTAACAATAACGCTAGAAAAATACTATCTGAGTAGATATGTTCGTTGGCTCCAACACCCTATAATGTTAGCTTTGACTGTGGACTCTGTTGTGCTGGTTGTTTGTAGACGTTAGCAAACGCTATTTCAACAGCACAACGAACATTGTGTCTTTATTCTGGGTTCAGTTTCTCTCCGTAATCTCCATTTGTCTCTTCGTTTTTTCTGCCACCACAAAGCGCAGTGACGTAACCGTGATGGCTAATAGCTTGTGAATGAGAGAGATAAAAGAGTTTAACGGTCCAGATTAAATCCTGCTCAGTGTGGTCCTTTAAAATGTGTGATGATGATGGAACCGGAGTGGGTGTTACCTGTCCGGGTCCGATGTAGATACAGGTGCCGTTGGGGTGGCAGCCTCCTCTGTCAGGACCGTCACAGTTGTTGATTGGCTGACACTCGTCTCCGTCCTCCCTCCATCCAGTCAGACACTGACAGGAGTGAGAACCTGGTCCTGTCTTTATGCATTTGGCCTGCAGGGGGCGCAAAGACAGCAGCCACAGCAGAGAAGGGTCAGAACTGACTGTTTACGTCTTTTAATAAATGACTGCAGAGTTTAAGAAGCGACTCACGTTCACGCTGCAGCCGCCGCGCTGAGGAAGAGCACAGGGGTCTGACTCCACGCAGGTGATACCGTCACCTTGGTAACCAGGTTTACAGACACACCTAAACACAGAGCACACTGATTGATTAATATCGGGTATACTTCATATAATTGTGAGCGTGGATGCAGGTAAACTCACCTGGTGGTTCCCTTGCTAAAGTCACAGTCTGCGTGGGCGTGACAGAACTGAACCTGAATGCCGCAGACTGCCGTCCGGCGCTCACAGAACGGCCCGGTGAAACCCGACAGACAGGAGCCCACTTTACAGCGACCGTCTGAGTCCGGACGGTTGTCACACTGTCCGTGGATACAGGGGCAGGCTGAGGACAGACAGGTGAGGTTTGACACAGGTGAGCTTTCATCATCTTTCATACATCACAGCTACCTGTATGATGTCACAACTCAGACTTACTTCTGTCACAGTTGGGTCCGTATCTGTCGGAGGAGGAGCAGTACTGACAGCGAGAGCCTCTGAACTTCGATTCACAGATACAGGATCCATTTCCTCCAATCCCCTCCAGACACTGAAACAGAAAAACACTTCCATTTCCTCCAGTTCTCTTCCAAAAACTACTACATATTTAAATTGTAAACATTTTAAAACCCCTTAAAATATTAACATATTAGGCCTAGCATGAAAAACATTTTTACTTTAAATGACAAACTGAAGTTAAAGGACGACTTTCATTTGTTCCCTCTGATCTTTCACCTTTCACCATCAGGTGTGACCAGAAAGTGTTTCAGGATTTAATAACAGCATGTTGAATCTGACCTGACCGTGTCCGGAGCACGGAGTCTGGTATCCTCCTGGACAGGGACTGCAGTCCGGACCGTAGAAGCCTTTACAACATGTTGGAGTCTGAACAAACAGAAACAAAAGCTCCAATAATCTTAAATCGTAGTTGGTTCTGATAATCTGAGGAATCCGCCTGTTAGTTTACCGTGACGTTGGTGCTGCAGAGAGGAGCGCAGCCTTTTACCGGGAGGCTAATATCGAGTAAGTCCATATTGAAGACACATCCCCTGGTGAAGGAGCCCTGATCAATAAGGAGATGGATCATCATGTTTCCAATCATAAAAATCTAACTCATACAGATAAAGACAGTATGTAAAAGTCTCACGGTATAATCTCCAGTTGAGCAGCGTTTGACCACTGAGCAGCTCTCACACTGACCCTGAAACACAAACCAGATTGAACGTCTCTTTACAGTGAACATTATTAACAGAACTCACAGAAGGTACTTTCTTTGTGCTAATACTAATCCTAATGCTAGGTGAGCAGGGAACTAAACATGGCAGCCGCTGCTGTAGAAGCTCACCTCGAAGATTTTGGTCTCATTGATGTCACACCTGTGGGGCAGCACAGGTTGGATGGAGGGCGGAGTCAAAACTCCATCCAGAACATACAGACGTCCGTTTTTAGCTTCCACTGCGGCCTCCAACACCGCCGCTTCGTTCACCAAAATTTGACCCTGAAAAAGAAAAACGAGTCAAACACGTCAACATATTATAAATCTATTATTTATTATATGATAAGATGTTATAATATTCATTTATTTTCTGATAATAATCAGCTCTCTTTGGGATTGCTATATCAGTCCCTCCAGGATTTCGCAGGCTTGTTTGAGATTGTTGCAGCCAAAAATCTGATTTCACAACAGCTTTTCTAAAAAATTGCAATGCATGTTGTTACAGTTTTAGACATTTTGTTGCAATGAAATTGTGGAAGAAAATGAACATTGCCAAAGTAAAAAGCGAAAAAAAAAAAATGCGGTGATTGAACAAAATTGCAGGGTTACACAGAATTCACAAGGATTGTTTGAATTTGCATTAGTTCACAACTTCCTGGAGGGATTGACCTGTCTGTAAGGGGATTTTGGGGATGTATGACTAATTATTTTGTGCAGGAAAGTACAATTATACATCAAAAGTTTAATGAACTACAGTCAAATCCTGAAGTCAAACATTTAATTCCTGATGTGACTAAATTTATCTGACAGACGAATGCACAGAAATATCAATGAGATCCATTTACAGGAGATTTTAAGATCCATACTTACATTTTCTGACACACTAATTGTCAGAACCTGATTGGCCATCGACACGATTCTGGGACTGGACACGGCATTATAGACCTCCAGCTTCAAAGTATGGAAATTAATCACAATCAGAAGATTTGATGGAACATCTTACATTGTGAAAACGGGTTGAATTAAAATAGCAGAAAATACTGACCGCGGTGGACTGGACGATGTGGTTCCTGAGCAGCTCCACCAGTTTGTTGTGACCCTGGAGGATTGAAGTGTTTTTGGGTCATGTTGCTAAATTATATTTGAAACTAGTTGAGAACGGTTCAGTTTGGTTCTTACTTTAGAACTGCTGAGATACTGCAGGTGTCCTTCAGTCATCGAATCAAAGGCTGAACTGCTGGGAGCAAAGACGGTGATTGGACCAGGCAGGTCCAGGACTGACGCCAGGTCAGCTTTCTGCAGAAGCAAAACAGTTCACTTTAGGAAATATGTGACAAACTTAAGATAAAAGTTGCATTTACATATGTACATAAACCAGTGATGTGTACTCTGTCTGAGTTGTGGTTATGTCTTTTAAAATACTTTTATAAAAAAAACTTTATAAAAATGTTAGAAAACTCTTTAACAAAAAATCTTTTATAAAACTTTTATAAAAAAAAAAGTAACTTCTGATCAACCCATATTAATTTCAGGATCAAATTTCTGCTTACTCCCGCCCACTTATAGTATATAATATAATTTGTGAAATCTACACACAACACACTGCAACATCAGTTTTCTTTAGTTATTATTATATTACAGCTTATAAATGTATTGATCTACATCCTAACAGCAGACTGATTGGAGAGATCATCCATCCATCCATCCATCTATCTCTTCATCCCTCAACCCTTTCCCGATCCATTCATCCCTCCTACAATACACCACATTGGTTCACATTTATCCATTATGTGCAATAAACCTTTCTAATTCCATACGTTCATCGGCGAGGTCTTTGTTAGAGAATCTGGATGTGTTAGGAATATTTCTACGTACCTCCAATAAAGACTTGAACTTTTCAAACTTTCCGTAGTCAGCAACAATCTTCATCAGATTCTCCTTTGAGGAAACGTAAAGAGAAAAATGAACGAGCAGATCGATGAAACGATCAGAGAGTTTGATCAGAGAACTCACCTGTGTGTCACTCTCCACTGTGGGAGAAACACTGTCCATCAGCTTATTGATGATGTGAATCATCCCGTTGGACGCCACCATGTCTGACTGAATGATCGTGCCTTTCTTCCTGCTGCCATGGATTCGGATTTTAGTCTGAGAGTCCTGGAGGAGAAGAAGAGACTGAGGGTGGAAACATCCCTGAAAGCTTTAAACCGTCGGATGTTTGATGGCGTTCAACTCTCTCACCCCCTCTGACGTGTCGATGTCAGCTGCTTTGCCAGTCAGGGTGTAAAAGATGTTCGTCTTCTTTAGCGTGTCAAAGGGCATCACCCCGGCAACCAGGTGCATCTGACACAGGTATTTAGCTTTGGGCAGGTCGGCTGTTAGAGTCCGTATCTGATCGACAAAGATCACCACGGCAACATTACATTCATCTGATATTTATTCTGATATATTTTATTTAGACAAAGTATCCGAGTCAACAGGAAGGACCTGCAAAAGTTCCAAAATAAGAGTCATGTTGTGAGTTTGACTGTATAAATAAAGGTTAAAAAGAGCTGCTGGGTAAAGTTTTTCTTACTGAAACTCCCCTGAAGCCTTTATTGATCGGGACGAACAGAGTGAAAGGACCCAAATTCTGCAGAGGCCACGAAAGAGAACCTGAAAACACACACAGAGAATTACTGTTACTCCCCTGGGGTCCTCGAACGTGCCGTCTATATCCTTGCCAGAGTGTAAGTGAGTCACACAGTGCGCTAGGAGGAAGAGGAGACTGTCGTCTTCATTTGCCTAATTGGTGGGTTTGTGTGAAAGTAAGCTAAGTGATTTCTGACAGTCTGAAAACCGTAAAACCAAACCAACGTTAAACTGCGTTCAGGAGCTGCTCCTTGTCCCCAGGACCAAGTATCAGAGGATTGTTGCAACAAGGACCTTTTCTCCTGTAACACAGGAAGTCTATTACCGCTGCACTGCTGCATATGCTAACTGTACTACCTGCTATTAACTAGTTAGCGGTCCTATTAGCTGGCTGTACCCAGACTGGGAGCTGGAAGGATGGGGGGAGTTTAAACACTACTAGTGTAGGAGGGTTATAAAACCAAATGTCATCATACTGAACAGAGTGATGGCGTTGCTCAGCTGACCGCTCCACTGTCCTCCGGGTTGTGTGTTCAGAGCTTTCAGACGCTGGATGATGTTCCCGTAACAGACTTCACCATTGCCAATGTAACCCGGGAGACAGGTGCACCTGAGGGACAGAGGGACAGGTGATCTGTGTGATCCCGTTGATTCAACATCGGTACGTTCAGTGGATCCAGAACAAAGTGACTGACTTGATTCTTCCTGGGCTCAACATGGTGCAGTTGGCGTTCTTGTGACAGGAATCAGGTCTACAGGAGTCTATCAGGCTGCAGCTGCCGTTGGACAGGAGGTCAAAACCAGGAAGACACTCACAGTGAGACTGGACGACACAGAGCAGGTACACAGAGGGTTAATGTCACTGCTGCCCCCTGCAGGCTGCAGGATGCATTACAACAGCTCTCATATAATAACACAATTATTTATCAATTATTGTTGATCCTGTACCTGATCCTGTATCTGATCCTGTACCTGATTCTGTTCCAGTTCCTGTTCCTGATCCTGATCCTGATCCTGATACTAATCCTGATATTGATCTTGTTCCTGATCCTGATCCTGATTCTGACTCTGACTCTGACTCTGACTCTGATCCTGTTCCTGTACTTGATACTGATACTGATACTGATCCTGTACCTGATCCTGCTCCTGACATCGTTCTTGTTTACAATCCTGATCTCAGTTCCTATCAGGATCCTGCTCTTGGTCTTGCCCATGGTCTCAGTAGTTCCTCACCTTCCCAGGTCCGTCATAGACGCAGCGTGTGGACTCGGCGGCGCAGCCTCCCCGTTTGTTCTGACACGGATCGACGGCCATACAGACACGTCCGTCCCCGCTGTAGCCCTCATTGCAGGCACAGAGGTGCTGGTTCGGACCAGTGTGGACGCAGGAGGCCTGGGCGTGACAAATCCGCTGGAGACAAGGGTTAATGGCTGAGGAGACAAACATCACTACGCCTTTAAATGTCCTCTTTAAGCCGTCTTACTGGTCAGAGTAACTACGAGAACATACTTCGATTTAGTGACAAAACATCATCCAGAGATATATAGGTAGTGCAAAGGCAGAGTGCAGAAACTACAGTCTGTCTTCTTCCTGACAAAATCTAGTTTATTACATTAAAATCTGTATTTTTTTTAAATAGACGAGTCATTAATAGTCATTCAGATTTAACACATTTGTGACACATTTATTTCAATAAGCCCAGTAATACCCTGTCCTGTCTAGTTAACAAGAGTAAACAGACATTTAAAAGTTCATTCTCAGTCAAAACTCAATTTTAACCAAAGTTGTAGTTTCTGTTGTTTGCCTTTGTAGGGCAGAATAGTTTCCTTCAGATTATTGAATCAGTTAATCGCGTTAGAAACCCTAAAAGAACCGTCCAACATTACATTTGCACCATTAACGTACAGGAACCTCATTCTCATGATTTAATAACTGTCAGCTGATTATTAACGAGTCATAGTTGGATGTGGTCACTCACACACACACTGAGCTCCCGATCTCTGGTAACCCAGCAGACACTGACACACAAACTTTCCCGTCAGAGCTTCTTCAATACAGCGAGAGTTCTGCTGACAGCTGAGAGCCACACACTCAGGAAGCTCTGAAACACAACACAGTTACACCAACAGCTGTAAAAGACACAGGTAACTTCCAACAGAGACAGGTACCAGTTACCAGGTACTGGGTGCAGGAAACGGAAACAAGTAGAACCAGTACGAATACTAAGAAGCAGTAAATCAGAAACGAATTACAGGTGACAGGTAACAGTAGCAAAACCAGTAACAAAAGACAGCTCAGGTAACCGAAACAGTTCAGAGAACAGGTGGAGGATACAGGTAACTGGACAGAAACAGAATCCGGTAACAGACAAAGGTTAGCAGGTAACAAAGAGATATACAGGGATATACAGAGACAGGTCAAAGCTTACGATGTTTACACATTGTAAAATCAGTCATTATTGATCAATAACTGCAGACTGACCCTGATCACAGTTTGGACCTGTATATCCAGAGAAACACAAACAGGAACCAGAACCTTTGAGACCAGAACCACAGATACCGTGGACACACGAACACACTGCAGAGACACACAGTGAGTGCATGAGACATGACAACAACAATAAAAACAACAACAACGTGAGTGAAAACATTGGTTTTATTTATACAGTGTTATTTTACGTTACCTGAGCTACAGGTGGGTCCATATCGATCAGATGCACAATCCTCACAGGCAGTTCCTGCAAAGCCCACCTGAACACACACACACACACACACACACACAGTCAGAACCAGAACCTGCGCAGTGGCCATTAGAACCTCTTAAAAATGACTGCAACCACATAAACCTCCTCACAGACAACTAGAACATCCTGTTGTACCACAGACAGAGACCTCCTGAAAGACAGAATCCCCAAATGTACAGTCAGAACCTCATTGAACCCTCATTGAACCACAACCAGTATGACCTTCCAAAGGACCACTAGAACCACCTACCCAACCACAAGAACCTCCAATGAATGACTGTAATCACATATGTACCACCAGAACAGGCTCAATGACCACTAGAACCACTTACAGTACCCAAAAGATTTCTTACAGGTCCACTACAACCACATATAGTACCCCTAAAGTCTCCTCAAGGACCATTAGAACCATTTAAGGATCACTAGAACCACATATGTTGGGCCCCCTTAAACCTCTGGAAGGGGTCCACTGAAGACCTCTCAAAGAACTTATAGAACATTGCCAGCTACAATCTGGTCTATTCAGACCCTCCAGGGGGGCAGCAGGGGTGTTGGATGGTAACATTATACTTCCTGTTTACAGTCCTCAAAGCATTATGGGCAAACCCCTGATCTGGTGTGTTTGGCGTGCCTCGTCCTCCCTCCTGCTGATCAATAAAGTGTTATATTCATTGATTATCCAGGTGTGTGTGAGGTTACCTGGCAGCTGCAGGTACCGTTCCCTCCCAGTCCATCAGAGCAGACCCCTCTGTTGTTGCAGGGTCTGTCGGCGCTTTCAGGACACTCTGGAACACAAACATTCACAGTCAGCAGAGTTTCCACTTCCTTCCTGGTTCTCGTCCCTCTCTAATCTCCAAAGATCAGCACCAACCGGCTCGGTCTGCGTCTGTGGATCCTGAATCCAGGACCACGTGTGGACAAGTATGTGTGTATGTGTGTGTGTGTGTGTGTGTGTGTTTTTTGGGGGTCCAGCTCAGTCCAGCTCAGTCCAGCTCCATGAGTGTCAGCACTTTTCTGTCCTGCTGACAGAGAATCTTTAAAGGAAGGAAGTTCTGGTTCCTGCAGGACGATCTGCATCCTGCAGGACTGAACATGTGACAGGAGTCACCTGGAGGCCTTCAGGCTGAAAGAAATCTCTCTTCAGACCTTTGATAGAACAAATAATCTTTCATTTACAGTAGTGTTGTCTGATCAGCTCCAGATCCCCCAGGCAGGGCCCCTAAATCCTGGTTCAAGACTAAAGGTGGTCTGAGGCTGACATCTTGTTTCATCACTTCCTAAAACTCATTTTTTAATGTCAGTTCCACTTAGTTTCTTCATGTCATTTGTTTTTTAAATTCTATTTAATGCTTCAGTTTTGATGGACTTTATTTAAAGCTTCTCTACGTCATTAAACTGTGGCTAACAGCGCCACCAATGGTCGCTCTGGGAACTGCAGTCAG